TGATGTCTCAGCACCGCCCACGCCACGCGCTCACGCTCTGCCTCCGACCCCGGGCCCCGTGGCTGGATGAGTGGCACCACCGGGGGCCGTGGCTGGATGAGTGGCACCACCAGTGCCCGTGGCTGGATGAGTGGCACCACCGGGGGCCGTGGCTGGATGAGTGGCACCGCCGGTGCCCGTGGCTGGATGAGTGGCACCACCGGGTGCCGTGGCTGGATGAGTGGCACCACCGGTGCCCGTGGCTGGATGAGTGGCACAACCGGTGCCCGTGGCTGGATGAGTGGCACCGCCGGTGCTCGTGGCTGGATGAGTGGCACCACCAGTGCCCGTGGCTGGATGAGTGGCACCACCAGTGTCCGTGGCTGGATGAGTGGCACCACCAGTGCCCGTGGCTGGATGAGTGGCACCACCAGTGCCCGTGGCTGGATGAGTGGCACCACCGGTGCCCGTGGCTGGATGAGTGGCACCACCAGTGCCCGTGGCTGGATGAGTGGCACCACCGGGGGCTGTGGCTGGATGAGTGGCACCGCCGGTGCCCGTGGCTGGATGAGTGGCACCACCGGGTGCCGTGGCTGGATGAGTGGCACCACCGGGGGCCGTGGCTGGATGAGTGGCACCACCGGTGCCCGTGGCTGGATGAGTGGCACAACCAGTGCCCGTGGCTGGATGAGTGGCACCACCAGTGCCCGTGGCTGGATGAGTGGCACCACCGGGGGCCGTGGCTGGATGAGTGGCACCACCGGTGCCCGTGGCTGGATGAGTGGCACCACCAGTGCCCGTGGCTAGATGAGTGGCACCACCGGGGGCCGTGGCTGGATGAGTGGCACCACCGGTGCCCGTGGCTGGATGAGTGGCACAACCGGGGGCCGTGGCTGGATGAGTGGCACCGCCGGGGGCCGTGGCTGGATGAGTGGCACCACCGGTGCCCGTGGCTGGATGAGTGGCACCGCCGGTGCCCGTGGCTGAATGAGTGGCACCGCCGGTGCCCGTGGCTGGATGAGTGGCACCGCCGGTGCCCGTGGCTGGATGAGTGGCACCGCCGGTGCCCGTGGCTGGATGAGTGGCACCGCCGGTGCCCGTGGCTGGATGAGTGGCACCGCCGGTGCCCGTGGCTGGATGAGTGGCACCGCCGGTGCCCGTGGCTGGATGAGTGGCACCGCCGGTGCCCGTGGCTGGATGAGTGGCACCGCCGGGGGCCGTGGCTGGATGAGTGGCACCACCAGTGCCCGTGGCTGGATGAGTGGCACCACCGGGGGCCGTGGCTGGATGAGTGGCACCGCCGGTGCCCGTGGCTGGATGAGTGGCACCACCGGGTGCCGTGGCTGGATGAGTGGCACCACCGGTGCCCGTGGCTGGATGAGTGGCACAACCGGTGCCCGTGGCTGGATGAGTGGCACCGCCGGTGCCCGTGGCTGGATGAGTGGCACCACCAGTGCCCGTGGCTGGATGAGTGGCACCACCAGTGTCCGTGGCTGGATGAGTGGCACCACCAGTGCCCGTGGCTGGATGAGTGGCACCACCAGTGCCCGTGGCTGGATGAGTGGCACCACCGGTGCCCGTGGCTGGATGAGTGGCACCACCAGTGCCCGTGGCTGGATGAGTGGCACCACCGGGGGCTGTTGCTGGATGAGTGGCACCGCCGGTGCCCGTGGCTGGATGAGTGGCACCACCGGGTGCCGTGGCTGGATGAGTGGCACCACCGGGGGCCGTGGCTGGATGAGTGGCACCACCGGTGCCCGTGGCTGGATGAGTGGCACAACCAGTGCCCGTGGCTGGATGAGTGGCACCACCAGTGCCCGTGGCTGGATGAGTGGCACCACCGGGGGCCGTGGCTGGATGAGTGGCACCACCGGTGCCCGTGGCTGGATGAGTGGCACCACCAGTGCCCGTGGCTGGATGAGTGGCACCACCGGGGGCCGTGGCTGGATGAGTGGCACCACCGGTGCCCGTGGCTGGATGAGTGGCACAACCGGGGGCCGTGGCTGGATGAGTGGCACCGCCGGGGGCCGTGGCTGGATGAGTGGCACCACCGGTGCCCGTGGCTGGATGAGTGGCACCGCCGGTGCCCGTGGCTGAATGAGTGGCACCGCCGGTGCCCGTGGCTGGATGAGTGGCACCGCCGGTGCCCGTGGCTGGATGAGTGGCACCGCCGGTGCCCGTGGCTGGATGAGTGGCACCGCCGGTGCCCGTGGCTGGATGAGTGGCACCGCCGGTGCCCGTGGCTGGATGAGTGGCACCGCCGGTGCCCGTGGCTGGATGAGTGGCACCGCCGGTGCCCGTGGCTGGATGAGTGGCACCGCCGGTGCCCGTGGCTGGATGAGTGGCACCACCGGGGGCCAGAAGAGCCCCGCCCGGCCGCCATTGCCGTACATCCAGTTTCCAGTTCGCCTGTGAGTGGAAAAACCTGAACACATTCGTCAACAATTCCACTCTGACTTTAAAATATGTCTATAATAATAGTAAACGTTTTGGGCTAATGTCCCTTATGTAATGCACATACAGAGATAGAGGCAGAATTAGAATATGTATTTATACTGGAGAAATCAGATGAGCTAGAAAGCTCTTTTTCCAGACATCAATTAGGGGCGAATCAGAACGTTACAACAACAATACGAAAACAGCATAGGAGGCCAGAGAAAAATGAACTCTTGTTATCCACTCGACCTCTTTGGCCTCGCTATTTATGGGCTATGACGAGGGACCGTTCCCGAAACGTAACCTGTTGCTGCATATATTTGTCATTTTAAAGCAGTGTTATTGATAAATGCTGAGTGTGTTTTGATAATTGTGCTTGTGCAGCCCTGACAACGTGGCATCATCATCATTATCACCATGACTCATTTTGTCGAAGTGGGTAGTCAGGTTGTACTTGTGATTGTGTTTGAACGCAATTGGTTATATATGCATTATATTTTACTGCAGTATTGCATTATTAATGGCAGCAGTATTAGCGTGAACAAATTCAATTATGTAAACACTGCACAGTTTCACAGTTTCAAAATAGTTTTAATACTGAACTAAAAGAACTTAAGTAGCAATAATTAAACTTTCCCCCTTTTGCAATTTCACCGTGTGAAGTTCCATTTAACGTAGAGGTGGTACATTTCTTCGAGACTCAAGTAGGACATCTGTGAAAAAGAACTTTTTAGCTCATCGGATTCGTCCAGTCCACAAAAATATTCAAATTCTGACTCAACCAGGACGCATGGGCGTGAGCTGGCAGCCCCTCCCTCCGTCAGCCACGACCATATTTACATTACCACGCCCGCTCACTCACTAGCTCCGCCCACTACACAGGTAGCCCCGCCCACTGCACAGGTAGCCCCGCCCACTACTCAGGTAGCCCCGCCCACTACACAGGTAGCTCCACCCACTACACAGGTAGCCCCGCCCACTACACAGGTAACCCCGCCCACTACACAGGTAGCCCCGCCCACTACACAGGTAACCCCGCCCACTACACAGGTAGCCCCGCCCACTACACAGGTAGCCCCGCCCACTACTCAGGTAGCCCCGCCCACTACACAGGTAGCCCCGCCCACTACACAGTAAGCCCCGCCCACTACACAGGTAGCCCCGCCCACTACACAGGTAGCCCCGCCCACTACACAGGTAGCCCCGCCCACTACACAGGTAACCCCGCCCACTACACAGGTAGCCCCGCCCACTACACAGGTAGCCCCGCCCACTACACAGGTAGCCCCGCCCACTACACAGGTAGCCCCGCCCACTACACAGGTAGCTCCGCCCACTACACAGGTAACCCCGCCCACTACACAGGTAGCCCCGCCCACTACACAGGCAGCCCCGCCCACTACACAGGTAGCCCCGCCCACTACTCAGGTAGCCCCGCCCACTACACAGGTAGCCCCGCCCACTACACAGGTAGCCCCGCCCACTACACAGGTAGCCCCGCCCACTACACAGGTAGCCCCGCCCACTACACAGGTAGCCCCGCCCACTACACAGGTAACCCCGCCCACTACACAGGTATCCGTTCTCTGCCTGATCAGGGGTTGCGCCGCTCTGTCACAGATCCGAATAGTTCATTCGTCTCGTGCCGTCGGGACGCTCACAGCAACAGTGCGGAAAAAATAAACAAGTGTAGTCACAACATGTTTTTTTTATGAGAAACTACAGCAAACAAAGAAGTACAAATAACACATATGGAAGTGTGCATGTTTAAGCATGTAAACTTTATTTTTGGATGCAGTCACCCATACCATCATCGATTAACCTTCACCACCTATGAATTATGGTCATTTTGTAGTTTCCGAAATACAATCCGAATGACATAAAAAAATATTTACACCGTTGATATATATACTTTTGAATCACATGGAATGTGCCTGATATCGGAGGAGCTTAGCAGGACCCAGAGGTGTACCTGGATAGTGTTGAGATGGATGAAAACCGCCATGACCAAACAGCTTGGCACAGGGTGTGGGCGGCTCGCAGTGTACAGCAGAGGGCGTTGCATAAAACAGCCTCGCTGTATATGCCCATTCGGTTTCCGTGATTTCGCGTGATATGCGGCTAACCTATTTCTTCCCAAAATTCGCAATATGCTGTTTTAATTCACTGAGATGCGGCTTTGTGGTCGGACGTGGGCAAGCAATGTGTATGTACTGTGTGTACTGTGTGTGTACGGCAAGGCCGTAGCCATGGAGTCAACATTGGGGGGGACCATATATTCCAGGGGGTCTGGGGGTCCGCCCCCAGAAAAAAAAAATCTAAAATTGAAAACGAATTTCCTGCCTAAAATAAAAAAATCACTAACACATAGGATGGACTTTTTATTTATTTTTTACAATATCTAATAGTGTATTGTATTACATTTCTCTGTTTTTTCTTTTTTTTACCTTTTCATGTTTCATTGTATGTAATGGCAGAGATTATGGATTAATAAATTACAACCATAACCACAATCATATAAAAATTTATCAATTTTATAGCAATATATTGGGGGGACATTTTGAGCATATTTGAATATTGGGGGGGGGGGGGAATGTGTCCCCCCTAGTCGGGTTTTTAACAATCGGGTTTAATTGTCTTTATATTAAACTCGATCATCTGAGATTGGGAGAAATCCGGTTTAATTGGTTCTAATTGCGGCATCCGAGCGGAACTTCTCAACGACGGGCTTCATCCATTCCAAGCTAAGGAACTCACTGGCGCCCACGATTGTGGAGGAGAAGCTCGTGTTCATCAAGACCAACCTGCCCGCCGCATTCTACGACTACCCCGTGCCCGACGGCCCCCCGAGTACGACAGCAGCACCGACGAGGAAGCAGCCTAAGCCTTGGATCAGAGTTCGTATTCATTAAACCAGGTTTTAATTCCCCGAAATCGGGTTTAATTGTATTAAAGGAAAAACCCGATGCCTGTCGCTGGAAAAATCGGGTTTTTTCCACCCATGGCGAGAAGTGACACGAGGGCATTTGTGGGGTGGGCCGCAAGGACGTTGCGAGGAAGTCAAGGTCGCGTTTTGTCCGCAGCGATCTCCTCCCTGGCGTCTGCATCGGCCCCGTCGTGGCCTGCCGCGGTTTGTTTGCGATGCCCTTCGCGGTAGCTGACGAGGTTGGGCGCCACAGCCTCCTGGTCCACGCTCACCTGGCCCTGCTGCTGTCGCTTGTAAATCTGATAACCTGTGAGCGACATTGAACGATGCTCCTGTAAATCGCCAACAAATTGCTTGGGAAATACAATTTAAAAAACCACGCAAAGAGATCGATTTATAGTTATATGTGTGGTGACCTTCATTAGCAAAATGTGCATGAGTCATGCACAGTGAACTTGACATTGTTTATTCTCCCTATAGCAGTCCAGCAAAACTGGTTTTAAATAATGAATGAGGCTGTCTGAGATTCACTCTGTATATATATTATACAGTATATAATTTAGATGACTCTTATGGGATGGGAGAGGAGCAGCGTAGTGGTTAGTGCACTGTTTGATGAACCCGCCAACCTGACTTCAATTACCAACCACGGCTAACATCAGTGGTGAGCGATATCTGTACCAATTCTGGGCCCCTTTCCTCCTCGTCAATAACTCACACTGACCAGCGTGGTGAAGTATGCTCAACATTCTTCACAACAAACATGGTGTGTGAGGTCTTCATTCAGCAGTGGATTGACAGAGGGCTGTACATTATTATCACAATTATAATGTGCAACGTTGTCACTACCATTGTGAATGTACTTGTTAGAAAACATCATCAATGCATAATGCCTGTGACTTTGGACTAATTTACATCGATTATATTGGTGGTCAGATGAGCAGCAGGACAATGGATTTGTATTCTAAATGTGCAGATCCTTGCCGTCCCCTTGTATGCATGGATTTTCTCCAGGTACATCAGGTTCCCTGCTATGTGCCATACACTCGTTCATGGAATTGCTCAAACATCTCAGTGGAGGCAACTTTTTGAGCTTGTCTTGAAACTCAACAAAAATATATTCTTGCTATTTAAAAGGCATGATTGTTATTGTGGTTCAATTGTAATTCGCGTGTAATTTTCCGAATTTTATTCATTTTAACCATGACATTGACACACGTGGGCTACGATGTAATGAGATATTATATCCTGGCTTGCCAGGAGAAGGCAGTACAGTAAACATTTGACTCCACCTGTTGCATCTGCATAGGATAGAGTGTTTCTCCCTTGCACGCGGGGGTTTCCTCCGACATATAAACTTTCATAAATTGACCGATCACACCTCACTATATAGAGGATCGCAGAGCTCGGGCGGTTGTTGGCACCCTCTCATCACGTCGCTGCCTTCCTACTTGTCTGTGGCTCCTCCACCTCCAAATCATTCTCTCTCTCTACGAGAGTGAGCGAATACTTTGTGCGTTACAAGTTGAAATTCTTATCATCGTTACGATGGATAAAGTCATGGCATATTTAACGCCCGCATCACATTGTATGCCTAAAACGCCCGCAGATAAAACCAGGGTGGTCACTCAACTCGATCCGCCAACATCTACAACAAATGGCAAACGACGCGTCACCGTATTCTTAGGTTTTTTCGGTAAAGTCACGTAGGTAAAACATTAAAATTAATAAAAGTAAAATAAAATAAAGATCACGACGTTTCGGAGGCAACACAAGCCTCCGTCTTCAGGTGGAACCGTCACAGCCACGACAGCTGTATCAAGTAACCGCTCCTTGCCGCTGGCCCTACCGCATACCAGTGATCATGAGGATGGCGTAGACCAACTGGAAGACGCTGTAGGCGATGGGGAAGGAGAACATGAGAGCGAGCTGCTCCGGCGGGAAGGAGATCTGCAGCACGCCGCTGCACAGGTGAATGCTCTGAGCGCCAGTCTCCACGCTGATCGTGCGGCACCTGCAAGGGGCGCGCCATCAACCGCACACTCCCTCAATCGGCAAGTTCGTCGCCGGGTTTCCGGTGAGAAATAAGAGGAATAACACACCCGTTAAAACCAAAAGGGGACACCTGCTTCCGCCTGCCTGTGTTCAGCAGCATCATTCAAGTGTTATGTCTGTGCGAGAGTGCTCAGCGACGCCGAGTGGTCAGGCGTGGGGCCCTGCTGCAAGGAATACAACGGAAGCCCAGAGAAGAACCAATGAGTCTCAGGGCAAGCTCAGAGACAGCAGAAAAAAAACGGATACATTTGGGGAATACAGCAGTTTTGCATTTTTTTCAACAACAATCAGAAGAAGACGGCTTTCCGCCAACACACTAACATCGGGCATTGTTTGTTGTAAAGCCACAAACCTGAACGGTGGCTGCCGGAACAGCATGGCGAGAACATAACCCAGGAGAAATCCGATGAGTGGCAAGGCTGCTGCGATGAACCAGATGTACATGCTCATGTTCTGCAGGCTGTTGTAGGAGATGATGCCCAGTGCCGCCGTCACCACGAGCACCAGGCTGCCCACCACCGTGCCCAACTGCGCACGTGGCACGGCGGAGTCGCAGGCGAGGAGAGAAAGGGATTCGGATCCACATCAGTGTTTTTCAAAAAAATTAGCCACTGAATGCCACAGGGGCCACATTTGAGAATCGAAGTGAGTCGAATGTAAACAAAATATTACGTTGGACCGACATGCTAAATTCACGCTCCGAAAATTTACCTTGAGCATGCGGCAGGCGTGTGCAGGGCACTTGTGACGAAGGAGCATTCCTAATATGACCGGAATGACTAACAATGCCAGCGTGATTCCTGAAACAGCAAGACGCACGCACGCATTAACGGCAAGCAACACCATCGCTGTACGGCTGAAAACTCACTTCGATCTCATCGCATTAGAACATCGACGCAGCACAATCTGTTCACGCTCCTTTTAGTGACTTGCATCGCATTTTTCCCCACGCTTCTGCGCTCCCACCCCCCAGAGTAGGAGCAGTAGTGTGGGGTGCGCTCACCGATGGTGTTGTAGGGGATGACGAAAGTAGAATCATCGAGCCACGATCTGCTGTAGATGTAGAGGCACAGTGGCATCATGCCGAGTCCCAGGAGGGTCGAGACCACGGTCATACTGATGCTGCGCAGCAGCAGCAGCAACAACAACAAGAATGCATAGACGCTCATCAACCACGGACAGAATCCTTCGCCCACAAAAGCGACAATTCCACCAACAGACTCTTCATAGAAGAGACCCCATCACCGGAAGATTCAGAGACCACATCACCCTCAGATTCAGAGACCACATCACCCTCAGATTCAGAGACCCCATCACCTGAAGATTCAGAGACCACATCACCCGAAGATTCAGAGACCACATCACCCTCAGATTCAGAGACCCCATCACCCGAAGATTCAGAGACCACATCACCCTCAGATTCAGAGATCACATCACCCTCAGATTCAGAGACCCCATCACCTGAAGATTCAGAGACCACATCACCCGAAGATTCAGAGACCACATCACCTGAAGATTCAGAGACCACATCACCCGAAGATTCAGAGACCACATCACCCGAAGATTCAGAGACCACATCACCCGAAGATTCAGAGACCACATCACCCGAAGATTCAGAGACCACATCACCCTCAGATTCAGAGACCCCATCACCTGAAGATTCAGAGACCACATCACCCGAAGATTCAGAGACCACATCACCCTCAGATTCAGAGACCCCATCACCCGAAGATTCAGAGACCACATCACCCTCAGATTCAGAGACCACATCACCCTCAGATTCAGAGACCCCATCACCCGAAGATTCAGAGACCACATCACCCGAAGATTCAGAGACCACATCACCTGAAGATTCAGAGACCACATCACCCGAAGATTCAGAGACCACATCACCCGAAGATTCAGAGACCCCATCACCCGAAGATTCAGAGACCACATCACCCGAAGATTCAGAGACCACATCACCCGAAGATTCAGAGACCACATCACCCTCAGATTCAGAGACCACATCACCCTCAGATTCAGAGACCACATCACCCTCAGATTCAGAGACCACATCACCCTCAGATTCAGAGACCACATCACCCTCAGATTCAGAGACCACATCACCCTCAGATTCAGAGACCACATCACCCTCAGATTCAGAGACCACATCACCCGAAGATTCAGAGACCACATCACCCGAAGATTCAGAGACCACATCACCCGAAGATTCAGAGACCACATCACCCTCAGATTCAGAGACCCCATCACCCTCAGATTCAGAGACCACATCACCCTCAGATTCAGAGACCACATCACCCTCAGATTCAGAGACCACATCACCCTCAGATTCAGAGACCCCATCACCCTCAGATTCAGAGACCACATCACCCGAAGATTCAGAGACCACATCACCCTCAGATTCAGAGACCCCATCACCCTCAGATTCAGAGACCACATCACCCTCAGATTCAGAGACCCCATCACCCGAAGATTCAGAGACCCCATCACCCTCAGATTCAGAGACCCCATCACCCTCAGATTCAGAGACCCCATCACCCTCAGATTCAGAGACCCCATTACCCTCAGATTCAGAGACCCCATCACCCTCAGATTCAGAGACCCCATCACCCTCAGATTCAGAGACCACATCACCCGAAGATTCAGAGACCACATCACCCTCAGATTCAGAGACCCCATCACCCTCAGATTCAGAGACCCCATCACCCTCAGATTCAGAGACCCCATTACCCTCAGATTCAGAGACCCCATCACCCTCAGATTCAGAGACCACATCACCCTCAGATTCAGAGACCACATCACCCGAAGATTCAGAGACCACATCACCCTCAGATTCAGAGACCACATCACCCTCAGATTCAGAGACCACATCACCCTCAGATTCAGAGACCACATCACCCTCAGATTCAGAGACCACATCACCCTCAGATTCAGAGACCACATCACCCTCAGATTCAGAGACCACATCACCCGAAGATTCAGAGACCACATCACCCGAAGATTCAGAGACCACATCACCTGAAGATTCAGAGACCACATCACCCGAAGATTCAGAGACCACATCACCTGAAGATTCAGAGACCACATCACCCGAAGATTCAGAGACCACATCACCCGAAGATTCAGAGACCACATCACCTGAAGATTCAGAGACCACATCACCCGAAGATTCAGAGACCACATCACCCGAAGATTCAGAGACCACATCACCCTCAGATTCAGAGACCACATCACCTGAAGATTCAGAGACCACATCACCCGAAGATTCAGAGACCACATCACCTGAAGATTCAGAGACCACATCACCCTCAGATTCAGAGACCACATCACCCTCAGATTCAGAGACCACATCACCCTCAGATTCAGAGACCACATCACCCGAAGATTCAGATCCCTCCGCTGGTACCCAATCCAATCCCGGATGAGTTTCAAAATCGTTATTTACTAAGGACCATCTCGAATTCACACGCATTGGAGGCTCTTGAAATATTGCGGTTTTCTATTTACCGAATTCGAAAAACAACGTCTTCTTATTGTTATTTTGGTTGCCGACCACCGTTATGGACGAACAGCACCAAGACAAAGATCCCCAATATAGCAGCGGTCAGCGCTACCGCGCAGCGGTCAGCGGTAGCGCTGACCGCTGCGCCACCGCTCCCCACGATCGGCACCACCGCCGCCGCCCTCCACACCTCCCAGCACGTACCTGAGGTCCATGTCTCCGTCGATCCAGTACGAGATGAGGTTGGAGGCCAACCCCCCCGGACAGCAGCCCAGGATGAGGACGGCTGACGCCTCGGCCGCGCCGAGCCGCAGGCCGCGTGCCAGCGCGAACGCCGCGAGCGGCATGACCCCGAACTGGCAGACGAAGCCCACGGTCAGCCCGGCCCACGGCCGCTGGGCACAGGCAGAACGCACGGCGACAAGAGGGGCAGGGTGAAGCGACCACCCGGTGTGGTGTGACCTTGTGTAAAGGTGGGGTAGGGGTTGGGGGGGTGCACATGTGACAAGATGTACGGGAGATAAATGCCAACGTCGAGGTCTCCTAGCCACAACGAGAGGGCTTCAGCAGCGACATCCACATTGTACTGCACTTCTATGCTTCCCGCCACTACACAACCCGCACTGGCCAGCGTGGTAAAGTATGGTAAAATTATATTAAATAGATGCAACTGCTGGCGACTGACTCGGTAGCGAGCCTACGGTTCGTGCTATATCGTCAGCTTGCCGAGAAAAAAAATCCCCGAAAACGCAGGCTTTAAAATACTTAGATTTTTGTTGTCTCCAATATTGTTCCTCAGTCATGTGCAGACCCCCACACCGCCCCTCCTGGCAGACACTTACCCATGTATTCCCATTCCAGCAAGTTTGTCTGCCTTCACCCAGAAACGTGCCCTCTCATGCCATGCAAAATCTCAGGCCACGCAGGTCTTACCACCCCGAGCCTGCCCTGGTCACACCTCCACTCACCTTGAGGTGCTGCAGGATGCGGTCAAGGCACACGGAGCAGCCGAGCGCCAGCATGACGAAGCACATGAGCAGGGTGGACACCACGGTGAGCGCCATACGCAAGGTGTCCCCGGCTCGAACCGCGGTCGAGTTGCCAGCGGTGCCGTTCATTGCGCTCCCGTTCATCGCGCTCGTGAAATATGGTAGAAGTGAGTACGTTGCGTTGTAGGTTCAAACTAAACATTCGTTTAAAACCACTACCACATTAACCCCCCCCCCCCCTTTTTTGCTATAGACTCTACCCACAGCCTTTGACTTACTTCCTGAACGTTGTTCCAGTTCTGTGTGACTGTGCAAAAGAAGCTGAAATTTCCCAACATCATTTTCTGAATGGTGCACATCGGTGTGGGAAGTGGATGCACGGTGAGATTCGATTGGAGCGGCTCCATACTCGCCATTCTGCCCTGGACCTTGGCTCTCACAGTGGCGGTGGCTTGGCACCGTGTCCCCCATTAACGCGTCAGCAAGCTCCGTCCTGGTCCTGCGGAGAGAGTAGCTTACGCACCCAACCTGTAACAACTGCAATTAAGCTCTCGATTTATTTCCTGTGCGAATAAATCCAGGTTGCGGATTAACCGCACTTGTGAGGAAGGATGGAATATAAAATATTCGACGCTTATTTTTGAGTACTCGCTTGTTCCTTCCACAGGCGCTCCTCACTCGAGACCCGGTGGCCGATGACTTTAAGAAACGAAAAAAACCATGACAAATTCCGTCTTAGACTATTTCGTAACACTCGCATTATCCACGTTGTTTTCTTTTATCTGAGCCACATAACCCTGGATAATGGAGAACTGACCTATGTTATGGACTATAATGCCTCTGGGTCTAACAAGACCAAGCCCATTGAAGCCCAATTGAAATCCAACGCATCGGCTTTCAGGGACGTCACATGCAAGATGCAAATGAACACGACAAGAACACATCAGCCAATAGATTTACCTTCAAGTACAACACATACATGCACACACTGTACATCCCTATATGTGATGACTGTTTGAATCAAGCATGAGTGGTGCGGGTGGCTTTGAGGGCGTGTGGTCTGTGGCTTTTCATGGGCAACTCAAAGGCTGGACAATGCTTAGCAAGCAAACGGTGGTACTTTTCCAGTAACCTTCAGCCACACGCGTCGCCCACACGCAATGAGACGCTTTGCAGTTCTTAACGTGCGAGTAAAATGGCAGAGGATGGCTTTCGTGACGTTTGCCACTTCCAAGAGACGACTGCCGTGGCACTCCTCCAGTCTACCAAGCAACCCAACACATCCTGCCGTTTTTAAAAAAAAATAAACCCAACACACACAAAATTTTCACTCGGAATTGAAATCCTTCCGTGGCCCTGAACCGGAGCCACTGGTCACTGCCACGACGAGGAAGCCGGACAGACCCGGGGGACAGTGGCCACGCGCAGAGTATAAAAAAACATCGGCAGGATGAGGTGTAAATTTTGCTTAAAACTTTCGTGACTGCAGGAATTCATATTCTTGGTTCTTTCGGTAAAGTCACGTAGATAGAAAATAAAATACAATCAAATAAAAGTTTAAATTTTTTTTAAAATAAATTGAAAATAATCCGTGACTTTACCGAAAGAACAAAGAATAGGATGAAGTGTGCACAAGCATGCTCTCGATCACGGGCCGTCGTGCGAGACTCGTCGTTACGGATGGCGGGAAAAAAAACCACGATCCATTTCTTGCCGTTCTCTCCAATTTGCGTAAAATTATGTTTCTTTGAATTATGAGTGTCCTGGAATAAAAGACATTCCTAATCGCCGCAATGTATATGTGATAAGCCACACATATAGAGAATGAATATACAATTAACCCATGTTGCTATATTAATTGAAACACTGTACAAACCCATTTGATTAGTCAGTTAAGTTTATGATTAATTTTCTCTCGCCACTCAATCCGCTCACTCTTAACAAAATCCTCCTACAGTACTTTCCGGACAATGACATTGTGGGGGTGGTCACGTTTTTTTTCGTCCAGTACACCCCTCGAATCAAAACCAAGGCCCCGACTCTGATCGGAGTCTGAAGGAGAAATGTGGAGTGACGACTTGGCACACTTCTCTTGAGATGGTACTTTATTGAAGACACGTGCACTTGACATCAGGCGGAGACCCCCCCCCCCCCGACTGCGACAGCCCCGAGTCTCCCGCGCATCTCCCTTTTATATCTCGACACGAGGCCACGCCCCCCTTCCCGAACCTTCTCGCTGACTCTGGACGCTCGTCACCGGTGTTGGCCGTGAGCGGGAATCGAACTCGCGTCGCCGGGTTCGTATCGCAGCGTAGCGCTAACCGCTGCACCACCGCTCCCATAGGTAAGTAGACACGGATACACAGACACACACACGATCAAATTGAACGTGTACAGAAAATGCGAAGGACGGCTCATTAAAGAACAATGCGCATTGTGTTTCACAGAAAGGCCAATTGTGAGCCGTGAACAATTGCCAGGGTGTTGACGTTGGACGGCGATGAACTGTCGACGCGCTTTCGCTGAAATGAGATGCGGGCAAGCGAGGCACTTGCCGGAGAGAAAAGCAGCTGCCATCGAGACTTTTCGACTCCTTAACGCATCTCGAGATGCCCGCTCCCACGCTTGACTTGAATGACTTTTGCCCAAGGGGCAACAGATATCGTCACTCACAAACGCCGAATGTCCTTGAGCACGCGCGTATTCACAATTGAGCACGGTGGGAGAAGTAATGTGGGTGGTGAATTAGGAACCTGCCTCTGGAAAATTAAGTTTTTAAAGTTGTCATTTCCCTGCGAATGTTCACCTAGTTCTGCTTTAACAAACACGCGTCGATTTGACAAAACAATCTGCAGTGCGTGCGACACGTTTTTTTGGGAAAAAAGAAAAAATTCACGAACACTGCACACGAAAAGCCGGTTGTGTAAAGGCTGTCCAGCCGACCAAGATAGCCAGTTCCCTGTTGTGGTGCAGTAAACAAGATTAACACACGAAACATATCATCTACAACAGTGTGACCATGTTCCCAGCAGATGCGCAACTTCCCTGTGACCTGCCTGGAGAGTTTGACATTTTGTATGTACCTTTAAAATTATTTCGTATGTACCTTTGAACTTATTTCGTATGTATGTTTGAACCATATTTCGTATGTACCTTTGAACTTATTTCGTATGTACCTTTGAAATTATTTCGTATTTACGTTTGAACTTATTTCGTATGTATGTTTGAACCATTTTTCGTATGTATGTTTGAACTTATTTTGTATGTTTGAACCATTTTTCGTATGTATGTTTGAACTTATTTCGTATGTACGTTTGAACTTATTTCGTATGTATGTTTGAACTTATTTCGTATGTACGTTTGAACTTATTTCGTATGTACGTTTGAACTTATTTCGTATGTATGTTTGAACCATATTTCGTATGTATGTTTGAAACATATTTCGTATGTATGTTTTAACTTATTTCGTATGTACGTTTGAACTTATTTTGTACCGTATATAACCCACCGCCCCAATACACAAAAGAAACTGCTAACAAGAAATAATATGCTTTCCCTGAATACTTAAAACAAATTTCAAGTTTATTTTCTTTTATTTTTGCGACCCAAAAAGCAGGAGTGGATACATCCGCACAACGGAATGTGGATACATCCGCAGAACGGAATGTATCCGCTCTCGGTTCCAACCACAACCTCTGAATAATTCTCCCCCCACAATGTGGCCGATCAAAGTTAACCGGGTTAACCGGGTTCACGACCTCACACTGGTAGGGATAACGGTTTGGAGTAGTGGGTTAACCAGGGAAGGTGGGGGGGGGGGGGTAGTGAGCGCCTATGAGGCAGGCATGGCGCACGAGGTGCCCAACACCATGCCCGGCCACCTTTGTTTCCCCATTGCTGATGTGTTCCATCCACACCAGGTACTAATATAAGGCTGAGTCGACCTAGGCGAGGCCCAGGTCCGGTTCAAATACATTAACCACCGTTATTGATCACGAACGGGAATGGAACTCGGGTCATCCGGGTTGCGAGCGCAGTGGGCCAAATATTGCGCCACCATTCCGCAACTAAGCCAACACACAGGCACACACAGACATGACAAAGGGAAACATCAATATGACGGGGGAAAAAATAAACGTTTATTCGATATTTTTTTCTTCATAAAAATACGCAAAACATTTTCCCAACCTGGATTACAAAATCGCTCCACTGGGCCGCAACGAGACTTGACGAGGTCAGGCGATGTAAGGCAACTTGTTGTGATTAAGGAGGAAACCGTGATAGTGTATCGTGTGAACGAGAGTATAAAACGTTAGAATATAAAGTCGAGGATTCATCTGACAACATAAGAGGGGTCCGGTCAAGGTTGAAGCTGCACTTTTAGTTCTGATACTGACCATAGTTTTCAAGGCATTTCATGACAACATCGTACTTGAATGTCCCGTAAAAAAATTACAAATCTGTAAAGCACTCCGTGGGTTTCATAGATTCAGGAGGTGTGGGCTATCACAAAGGGATCGAGGGAAGGTAGCCATCAAACGAAACCAAGCTTTTCCCATGTTGTCCCTAACTCTGGACGTTTGGCCAACTCCATTAGCGCGAGACAACACGAGAGCACCTGAAACAACGATGATGCAAGACTCCAACCCCTACAGATGATGGGGGTCCACATTCCTTGTACCACGTTCCCCAGGCGAGCCACGGTATGGCGCCTTAATGCCCACCGAGAAGGGAGCTTCACAATCTTTGTGCGATCCAACAACCCTCGCCTACGGCGTGCGAAACCACCCACCGAAGGGAGCAGCAACTCGTTCATGCCAAAAGCAGATAAATATCTAGCGCTTGTGTGCAGATGTTTCAGGAATCCTTTCACATCCTCATGGTTTATTACCGACTCATGCCCCCTCTTTAAAATCTCTTGCAATACTCAACACGTATGTGAGAAACGCGTTTCGACACGATGTACATATTAAACTGGTTTGATACTGTCCTTCACAAGAAACGTCATTAACCAGCGCTGTCCCACTGGGCACGGCACGCTTTTTACGACCATCTCGGCAATGATCTGACTGCTGCGCACAGCCACGATGCCACTTCACACGGGAGACGCCAAATTTCGTCAGTAGCACCCCAGAAAACTGTCATCAGTGATCTGTAACTTCTTTGAGATGAGGACAAACATTGCAGGACCACCCGAGACAACCCCCGATTTAAAGACGCATTTTACGACATCACTATTCTAAAATGAAAAAAGACTGAAGTCAAAAACCACGTGGCATCCCCCAATCGTGGAATGCAACATTACGTTTTGCTATGGCTTGTTCAATTTCACGCACGCACGCAGTCCTATAGGCAGCTCTCTCATCGGCAACGCCAGGAGCACGCGTCAGGAACACAAAGTGACGACGCGTCGCTAAGTTTCACCACCACGCTCCCCTTCCCCCCAGACCCCGTGAGCTTCCCACTTGGCTAAAGCAAGCGCCGGACAAAGCGTAAACTGCGGTGCCAAATCGAGGAGCCCGATACACTCATGCGCCACACACGTTCCACCAGTGTCGGCCCCTCCACAGAACGGGGGTAGCCTCAGGGAAGGAGTGTTAATTGTATCGTAAAGCTCAATTGGGTATATAGTGATTCAAGCTCAATTAATCACATTGTGAAAGTTAACAAATCCTCTTGATCATTCATTAAGTAACTCTCCCCAGCCATGGCTGACTTCAGCGGCGAGTAATATACTGGAACCGGTCGGCAAATTAACCAACCCGCACAAACCAGCTTGGCGAAGTATGGTCAAACAACCGCCACGACCGACATGGCGTGGGAGATACTTCATCCACCAACCGAGTGATAGGGGGCTGTAAATGCAACCGATTGAATTCACCTGCGGTACAGGAGCACGGGCAATGCCACACGTAACGTACAGACAGCGAGCCCAGTTAGAATATAGAAGACACAGACGGGGGGGGGGGGGGGGGCGTTCCGCGTCTCCACCCACAATAAACCTTTTGCATTGGTTCGTCGACCTGTGGACTTTCCACAATAGCGTTTCCTACAGTTTTGCATAGAGTGCAAGTACACAGCACTGTAGTGTGAGGCTAAAGACAAATGGGAGTTGAAATTCCTTCAGATCAGTTTATAATCGCCGCTCAAAACTGTCGACCTTGAGCACAGCTCCAATGGCTAAGGTGCCACACCTTAGCCTGGCGAAGCGCAGTTAAAACTTATCGTTCCCGGGGTGCGTCAAGGAGAGCAGCCTCTTCCTCACAGACCAACACAGAGTGTGTGGGTGTACGATGCGATGAGGTCCATAGGACCTCTCATGGTGCAATCGAGTTATTTTTCTGATAAAGTAAAAAGCAAAAAAGTTGGTCAAAAAAAAAAAACTCTTGCAGTCCCACGATAATCGGCAATTCATCACCGTCCGCTCCTCTCACAGCTCATCCTTCTCCTGGCAGAGAAGACAAAGACAAATGTTTGATGAGTAATTAGAACCAATTACCCAGCAGCACCTTGCAGACACGCGGCTTACATTGCAATAGACAAGATGTATTCATCTTTGTCTTACGATCTGTGTGTTGCAACAGCAAGTTGTGGTACTTGCAAGCCAGAGGTCGCCGGTTCGATTCTGTCTCCCGGTGGTGGCGGTTTCTGAAATTTCCTTCCACCACCCTCTCCTTCCCCTGTCCACCCAGCAGTATAAATGTATACACCACAGCCAGTCGATCGGCAGGTCACGGTGCAACGGGGTAAAGCGTGGGTACTCCCATCTCTTCCAAAAAGTCTGGCCAGCATGCAAGAATAAGGCCAAAAAGCCTCCTCTAGCGGAGACCCTTCGCCACCAGCGGAGTGCGGAAGCAATTGCGGGGCTACACTTTTACCTTTTAACACATTACGCATTCATCTTTTGTCTCGCGATTTCTGGGTTGCCCACGGATACGATTCGCTCGTTGATCCCCTTAGTGCGCAATGTGCACCGCGCCGTACTCGCGGGGCGAGTGACGGTGCGAGGGTGAGGCGGTTGTCACCTTCGCCGCTCGGTGGCACGAGCAAGGGAAGGGCTCGTCCGGAGGCTGCTCCACCGCCTCCATGTCCTCCCACACCTTCGGCTTTGTCGTCTGCCGCCGGGCGTACTCCTGGGAGGGCAGGGGTCACACGGCGATGGCCGTCGTGACGACGGTGACAATGACCTACATGGCAGGGCTGGGGAACCTCGGGTTACTGTCGCAAGAGGCTCTAGTTTGTGCTCTTGAAGGGGCATTGGTCATGTTCTTAAAGAGCGCGAGGGGGGTTTAACTCCTACAGAGCGCAAGTGGTCTTCCTAAAGAACACATGAAAAAAGCAGCGCTCACAGAACTGTGTGGTATGTTGAACTTCTTTCGCACCGTACGAAGCCAACCGCGCTGATCAGCGGTGGGGAACATTTTATTTACGGAGGGACGAACACGACTTACAATGTTCAGCGGGCCGTACATTAACACGCACCCTAGCGTTGTCCAATAATAACGTGGACACTAATTGTGGCTCAGCTTTACAGGTGACCGAGCAGACTATACATTTTAAACACAGTGTTGTTGCCAGGTCTGAAACATTCCCCTCTATCACCTGTTAGTACACCCTAAAATTATTATATTGATGAATAAATACCGTTTACGGCCTGCTTAGAAATGACAGGCCTCATGTGGTCGCGGGCTGTATGAAACAAAGTCACAGGCTGCAGATTCCCCCATTCCAGGTCTACAAGTTATGCCGATCACCGTAACCATCACGATCATCCTAACAAACTTCGTCGGGATGTGCACAAAACAAAGTGCTCGATTTTTCTGGGTAGATTGTGTCTCTGTGTGGGAGTGAACTGCGCAGTCCCAATGTCGCTGTACTCCTCACTGGGATTGAGTCGATGGTCCTACAGATGGCTGGCGATCGTGAGCAGGTGCTGAGTGAATGATCGTCAGTGATGAAGACGGGCTTTGGAGCGGCCTTCACCCAGCAGGGGTTTGATCACGGCGAACACAAAGGGTTGCTTATGTGCAGCGAGAGATCCGAATGGATTCTTTGTCGCGTGACAACGAGCCGAGAGCACAATCGAGAGATAAAAACAATTACAAGACAAATAGTGCTTCCTCACTTACCTGGAAGAGGCTGTAGTGGTAACAGAAGACTTGGTCGGACATGAGGTTGTTGCGGACGTACTGCTGGCCTCGCTTGGCTATCTGCCTCGCCTGCAACGCGAGGGACACAAGACACGGATGGCATCATCATCATCCTCATCGCAAGGGTCTCCACCTCTTCACGGAGATGCGTCAAAAGTGATTCCTTGCACAGAGGCGGTGGTCATCTCCTGTTCGCAGTCCTAAGCCGATGGTGTCAATTCCACATTCCTCTGGTGGGGGGGGGGGGGGGCGAGGTGATTATCTCCATAAGAAAACCACAACCACTGTTGACATCTCCGTAAAGCGGTAATTATTTTATCGACCTCGGAAGGATCATGGTGTGAGTCAACTCCGAACCAGGATTTTAACTGGCGACCTTCTGATAGCAAGCTGCTCGCTCAGCCGCTGGGTCACCTGAAAGCAAGTCGTTAATGCCGACCATGGGGCGCTGTCGTGGATTTGTGCAAAGCGTGCAGGGGCATAGTGTTACAGAGTACGGAGCAGCACGTACCGAGGGGGAAACACAGCTGCAGTTGGCATTCGAAGCTATATTTACAATATTTAGTATGTTGTCTGAAATCACTTCCCAATTGGGTGGTTCTCTTGTTTTTTTCTCAAATTCTGGTGGCTTGAAATGCACTGCATCGGAGGAGCAGTATAAATAATACATGACGACGATGATGGTGATAATGACCATTTGTAGATTCAACAATGACAAAAACTGGCATAACGCACGTAATTTTGTTGGTCACTAACCGGTAAAATCTGCCCTGGGCACGTAAAATCCACCCACAATGAAATCCACCCACAGCGTTTTTCAGCAAATGCTGTACGCTCTGCATGTAACGATTTGAGGAATCGTCGCAGTCCAGTGTTGAAATTAGATTTTAAAAAATCGTTGTATTATTTTGCCGTTGTGGTGTAAGTAGAATCTTGAGCGGCTGCAGATGTCACGTGAACCGTTCACATACCACATACACATATAATAAAATAATTGATTCATACACGCATTATTTATTGCGTGCATCGTGGAGAGTTAGGAATTGATTTTAAATCGGTAAAACGATGCATCATTACATGGCCACCATAAACCCCGTGTGGGTATCAGCGTGTGTGATTGAATACTACAACAACGTAATCATCGTCGTCGCTAAATCCGTAACCTGAAGTCCGTCAGGGTGTGCCGGGTGGACTTGTTGCCCTGCACGTGCTGGAGAAGGAGGCTGTCACATGGCTCTGTGGCTACGTGTGCTGACGTCCACTCACAGCATAACATTGACATGGATATACAGTTTGGTTCTTTCGGTAAAGTCCCGTAGGTGAAAATAAAATAATAATAAAATTTAAAAAATCACGCCGTTTCGGAGGCAACACAAGCTTCCGTCATCAGGTGGGACAACCACAGCAAAAAAAAAAATACAGTAAAAAAACACATTTTTGCTGTGGTTGTCCCACCTGATGACGGAAGCTTGTGTTGCCTCCGAAACGTCGTGATTTAGTTATTTTTATATTATTTTATTTTCACCTACGTGACTTTACCGAAAGAACCAAAGAGTATGGATCCTTGCAGTCACGAAAACTTCAAATCTGGATATACAGTTATTTATTCATATTGTGTATCTGGTGCTCTAATTGTGTAAAAGTCAGGTGTAAAAACATTCGCTAAAAAGAATAATTAAGCCCGTAACCTCGGCGTGGAATCCGTACCTCATCGTCGTGCTCCTGTGCCCAGCGGAGGCGCTCCTGCAGGTCGCCGAGGTCGCGCCGGAAGGGCACGTAGTGCTCCCAGGGCCTCAGCTCCGAGTAGAAGTGCTCGTAGTAGGGCGACTCCTGCTTGAGCACGAGGCTGTCGCCCGCCAGCAGGTAGGGCAGCCGGTACGCCGCCACCGTGCCGTCGATGTTCAGCTGGTATTTGAACTGAGTGACAAACACGGGGGGGGGAGCGTGCTCGCACACACACACACACAGGCATGCACACACACCAGCACACGCACACACACCAGCACACGCACACAGGCACACACCGTCATCTTGAGTCCTGCCTTCCTCCTCAACCCAAGCTCCACCGCAACGAGAGAACGCATGCAATGGAGTACTCAAATTGTAAACGTTGTGGGTTTACTCTTCAACACAACGTTGTGCCGAACTAGTAACTAATTGGCACGTTTCGTTTATGTGACAAACCTTGCTAATTGGCTGTGTCGGGTGGTGGTGGGTTAATGACGCATTTATATTTACGCGATATAACCCAAAAAAACCCCACCTTTATTTTTATGGGCAATTGCGTCGTATCATGAGATTGGTGAATTCTGATGTTTTGACATTTCCTAGAAGTCGTCCAAAATCAGGAGGCACAAGGGGGTTACTCGCTACACTTCCTGCCTGTGGAACTCGATTCAAAGCGACGTACTTTGAAGAAGTCGAAGAAGGAGATGGAAGGCACGGTGGGGCCGTAGAGGCTCTCGTCGTGCTTGAAGAAGAAAAAGTGAGTGATGGCAGCATCGATGGTGGAGTTAGGGTCGGACCGCACCATCTTCACCAGGTCCAGTCGCTCCTGCCGGCTATCCCGACCGCGCCAGAACGCGCGCTCCGTCTTGTTGGCCCACGCGGGGCCCGTGTTGGCCTGCACCGACATCAGGTCGAGCGACACCCTGCGGCGAAGGGGCATTCGCGCGCAGAAGACGTCAAACTTGGGTTTCAATCGTCCGCCAGAGTTCTGTTCGTTTGATAACGGACGACTCTCGATTATTGTCCGGCCGTGGTCAATGCGCTGGTGCAATAAGGCCTCCCACCAAGCCGTCACCGTCTGTCAGCAGCCTTGCGATGTAGCAATCCATCTCTTGCCCACATACGAGATGATTTCAAGACTCCATCTCTGTGGCATACGCCCTCTCGTGTGCTTCAGTATAGGCCGAGTGTAATATGGGAAAAAAGCGAGTGCTTCGGTATCGCCACCCCTCCGTTACCCAGAATGCCTCACCTGCCCATTGTCTCGAGGACGGATTCGGTCAGGTCGTAAGTCGGCATGACGATGTCGCGCGTCTCCTCCGAGCCGCACCACGAGAAGATGGGAAGAAGGCTTCCGTCCGGCGCCTTCCCCTTCTCCAGGGGCCAGTCACCCAGGTTCACGAAAAACTCCATGTCTGGCAACCACACCTACACAGCGCAACACCCACCACATGGTTAAGCGTTCAGCAATTGGTGGCTTTCAAATGATATTTGAAAAGAGTTTCAATGATATGGAGAGCTTATCCAGTACCTATTACAAACTATTGTAACAGTAAAATAGATGTATTTTTAAACGTACTTTTTTTTGGGTCACCCACCCACTAATTTGATCAAAATTGTTCTATTGGTGTTGCATAAAAAGAAGAGGAATTAATTTGGAACTCTCCCAGACCAGTGCAACCCCTCGTGTTAGAGGACTGCCCTATGGAAGCGGATATCGCAGAGCGACCTCTGAGATCCCTTCAAGTGACCTGGTCCACACAGTCGGGGGACAGCAATTTTCTCTCGGATCTGATCATCGTGTGACAGTCAAACCAATATTTATTTTTTACTTCTCAGAGCTGGAATTTAGACAAATTAGGTCCAGAACCAAATTTTACTTGTTGTTTTATTGTGTGGAGTCATTGGTGACCGGGTGGAACCAATTAACTCGCTAGACTTGGCAACCCAGTATAACCACAGCTGGATTTGAACCCCAGATCCTAGCGGTGCCAGCTCAGCACTCTGACCTCTGACTTCTGAGCCACTTAGCCACCTAAAAAAAAACCCCATAAATGTTCATGGTTTGATAATATTGTGACTCAGGCAGTTTAGAATGCGGGGCCCAACTCGTTTCAGACCTTGCGTGTGAGAGAGAGAAGCATGGCATCCATGAACATCTTGAAGTCCACGTGTTGCCCAAACGTTCGTCTGTAAACCTGCAAGTAAAATAAATTAATGTACAGTCAACATTTGATGGTGGGGGGTGGGGGGAGAGATGGCCAAGATAAAATAAACAGATAAATAAAACATGTAAATTAGGTTATCAAACTCGTTTAATGTTTACCTACGTAGAATTGCGAAGATGGCAGCGCCAATATCAGCTCATGCCCAGGTGCCAGACGGATCGCTGCGTCGCAGGGCAACCTGACAGAGCGCCAAGGCCTGTGGCCCACCCCTCGCCCACTCCTCCAGCACACAACCTACTGGGCAGGGTCCACCCGGTGGGCTAAACTCCCATTGAGTTGAATCCCTTGTACTAGCCATCCTCCTGGACCCCCATATATAATCATCCTCACCTTGTTATCCTTGATGGTGTAGTGGCACAGGCTGTGCCACTGCCCGAAGCGCTTGGGGGCCTCGCGTGCCACGTGGTCCAGGTCGACGGCGGGGAACGGCTCGAGGTCGCGCGCGATTTGCGGGTATTTGTCGCGGCAGCCCATGTCGGCGTACCAACGGTCGCCGTCCGTGCGTGGGCACGCGCACAGCTCGTTGTACACCTCGCCTGCACAGCGCGCATGTGCGGGAGCGTCAGAGTCACCGACCCCGTGGGATTTCGCTGTCGCGCCATTCGGCGCTCTGTGCGGTTCATACCGCACGTTGTTTGGTACGACCGTCCGATATTTCGCTCCACGTGTTCGGAGCTTCTTCCAGGAACTAAATGAAGAATTTTTTATTCAGGAAGTTTAAGATTATTTTCGTTGTTGCACGGGTGATCCCGTTTAGCCAGTTACCCGGCTATTTTACAAGGGAGATCCGTGGTGTGTGAGCGCAGTGACAACAAAATAAAGACGTAAACATACATTTTGCAGAGAATGGGCAGATGGTCCTTAATAAATATTGCATAAACAAACAGACAACAACGATTAAAGGTGTTGAGCCAATTAGCGGCAAGGCCATTGCTGTTGTTGTTGTTGGTGAGGTTAGACCAGGGGTCGGAAACCTGCGGCACCAGAGCCTAACGCGGCTCTTTAAGGACTGCTTCGTGACATTATTCACATGCATTGCGACTCTTGATTTATTGAGCTTTTGTTTGCCGAATTAACAAAAACATCTCTTAGTCTTATTATTATTTGGTTGCCAATCCCTGGGTTAGAGGGACATGGTGGGACGGCTCACCCCGGAGCGTGTAGGGCGACTTGGCGATGTGCTTGTCACGGTAGGTGACTTCGACGCGCAGGTCGGTGTACGACGCGTACAGCTTGTAGCGCACCAGGAAGGAGCCGTCGTGCCGGTCCAGCACCTGCACCCACGCACGCAGGAACGCGCCGTCCGCCGCCGACAGCTTCACCTTAAACGTGCCCTCGCCCGGCGAGGAAGTGAAGCTGCGCACTGGCGAGACGGGACCGGGTCGGACGGGACAAAAGCAGGAGAGGACTGGGTGAGAACTGCGCACGGGTGCGGCAGGCAGAGACAACATCTTTTTAACAACGTTTGAGAGATCCACGGTAAAGATATAAGAAGGTCTTACCAACATCATCAGAAATGTCTCACTGAATGGATGCTGGGACCACGTGATTAACCCGGCAGTTATTGCTGCTCTGGTTGTCCCTGGGTCTCGTTGTTGTGTTTGTTGGAGCCGGGCCCAGCTTGCTCTGACTCCGGGAAGGACTGTAGTAGTTGCTCTCTCTAGCTCCCAAGTTTCCAACTGTAGTTTCTTTTTGTGTAAAGCATTTTGAAATGTGATTGCATTTCACGATGCTACGTCACTTCAAATTGTTGTTGTGGCCGCTCTCCTTCCATCCAGATTAAAAGATGGTTGTGTTGTAAATGCCGAGTTCATTTCATGTGGGTACTGAACTGAACAATCAAGGCAATGTGTTTTTACATCTGTTCATTGAAAATATTATCGTCTCCATTTATTAGCCTCTGTTGTAAAGCTGTTGAACTTGTCTGCATTCTCACCCCCCGCCCTCCCCCAGGGCAGGAGTGGGGTTGTTTACCTTCTCGAGGGTGGAACAGGACTTTGAAACACATCTGGTGTGCCAAGAATTATCAACACACACAACGACGTTATCCAATAGCGTGAATAATGGCACGTGTATCCACTGAATATTAAAAGAAGTCCTTTGCAGTGACTGCACGCCCTAAAATTAGAAATACAATGTTGCCAGGTTGAAACCATTCCTCTATAATTTCCGATGAGTACATCTAAGCTATTGGCATGCAACCCATTGGGTGTCGGCTGTGAAACTGGAACAAGCAATCCAAACTTTGGAGAATAAACTAAGCCACTGGAGTCTGCACTCCTTCATCAGAGGCATATCAAAAGTACACGAACTCTCTCCTGAAGCCCTATCGTGGTGACGAGCAGACTTCCACATTGGCACTGAGCTCCTGAACATATTGCCACCGTGCGCAGGGATTTGCGCTGACGGAAAACATTGTTTGCGAAAAAAATCTAGATTTGAAGTTTTCGTGACTGCAGGGATCCATACTCTATGGTTCTTTCGGTAAAGTCACGTAGGTAGAAAATAAAATAAATCAAATCACGACGTTTCGATTGCAACACAAGCAATCATCATCAGGTGGGAAAACCACAGCCACTCCCACTTCAACAAAAAAAATATTGCTGTGGTTTTCCCACCTGATGATGATTGCTTGTGTTGCAATCGAAACGTCGTGATTTAATTTATTTTATACCTACGTGACTTTACCGAAAGAACCAAAGAGTATAGTTTGCGAACTAGAAGAAATGAAGCTGCGGGCGGCCTCTGGGTGGAGGTTCCCAGCAGTGTGCCAGCAATACGAGTGTCGTCACCACCTGGATGCCACGTGCTGCACGTGCAACACATTAGCGGTCTCGCGCTCCGGGAAGACACATACCACCCCATCCTCTTCTGGCTCCACGTCTGACACACATTAATTAATTCAAAGACATCCCCCTGTTTCAGCCTAAACAGGCTGTCTGTCTGGGCAAGTGCTGTTAGCGAGCACCTATTAAGGTCTGCATGGCATACGCTGGGGTGGGTGGTCACCACCACGCCCGGCCGCTTTTGTCTCCGAGTAGCGATGTTTACATATCGTAATCATTTGAGGTTGAGTCGACTTAGGGGAGGCCCAGGTCTGCTTCAGATAATCTTCGCTGGTGTTGGCCGTGAGCGGGTATCGAACTCGTGTGACCGGGTTTGTAGTGCGGCGTGCACACCGCTACACTACCTTTTCCCATTCACGCACACATACACCCAGCCTGCATTCATAACTAATTGCTTCTTTTCAGCAGTCTTCACTCACCAAATGCCAGGCGGACTACAATCAGCTGTTCCGTGAGATTCGTGACAAAATGTGGTTTGCCCAAGGTCATATAGCCTCACCCAGGAGGAAGTTAACCCAATGCAATTACTTCAAATGTGTGGGTTTCTGTTGTGTGTGCGAGTTCGCCGTGGCAATCACCCACACACACAAGATGTGCGAAATGCCCTCGGGGGATGTGCTCCTACGACTGCAATGGGTGCCCGGCTCGCACGACCGCGTGTTATATAACAGTCGTACGAGCACGGCAAGTGACATTACACACTCCGATGGCACTCACCATCATTCTCCAGATTAATAAGACGCACATTTTCACCCGCGTGTATGTTAAAATCACGAGTTGGGGGGTGCGTCTTATACTCTGGTGCCGGGACGGCTTGGGGGCGATTTTACATTACAATACCACGCTGGTTAAAGCTCGAGTTTATGAATGGGAGCATAGAAGTATAGTCCAATACAAGATCGCAATGTTTAGTGCCTGGTCAATTAGTAACATCGCATGATGGTGGAATACGGCGATAGCTTGGAGAGAAGGTCCATCAGCAGTGGATTGATCATGAATGCCAAGTTTTTTCAACGCTTCGACGCGACTGCCACACGAAGCGCACAAAACATGTGAAACCCGCAGGATGTAATAATGTCAGTCGGAGATGCCCGGGGGGGGGGGAGGCATAACTTCGGGATTTACTTTTTGAGATCAGAGCTGCCCTGATTGAAACTTTCCCATTCAAAATACAGCCCCCCCCCCAACCTCCTCCGTAAGTTCACCGTCTCCCAGACCCACAAGCCATCCCCCACCCGAACCCCGTGAGATGAGCGTGGAAGAAGCGGCGATTACAATCGAAGTGCGGCGTGTACTCACTTCTCTCCCGACTTGTCCACCGCCTGGACAAAGAAGTAGCGAGCGGGCAGCACGACCGCCGTGTGTAGCCCCGGACCCCACACCAGACACTTGTTGGCCGAAGGCACCCGGCCACTGGCACATGGAGTGGCCACCGCGGCCAACAGCAGCAACAGCAGCAGAAGCGGTGGCGAGGCAGCTGCCATTCTCGCAGGAGACGGAGTGACACGGCGGGAGGTGGGAGAGAGAGAGATGGGGGTGGGGGGGTGAGTCTCCTTCTTGACGAGCCCCTTCACAGGTCAGTCGAGTTGAGCCAGCCGGAGGTCGCCATGAAGCTTGTTGTGACTGAACGAGGTCACGCAATCGTCCGGGTTGCAGCCGGCGCGCAACAAAGAAGACACAATCCGAGCTGGTCGCTGCTAACACGTTCACTCGGTGACTTGTGAGTGAAAGGAATTCGCGAGAAGCCTAAGAAATGAATAGCTTTGGAGACCGGGGACAGAAGTAAAATGTGGCGTGGATCGTGACGTGGGGAGTCCACGTGTTACCCACCCCGTCCGGATGAATGGGTTTTGCGGGTTTTTTTTTAATCTACGGTGAAGCTACATACATCATTCTAGATTTTAAGTTGTCGTGACTTCAAGGATCCATACTCTTTTTTTTTCGGTAAAGTCACGTAGATGATTTTTTTTATTTAGTTGTTTTATTTTAATTTTATTTAGTTTTCACCTACGTGACTTTACCGAAAAAAACCAAAGAGTATACATACATCATGTCAATTGTATTGGACACACAAAGACCAAGATCCCCCGTATAGCCTTAACGGACTGTTGGGGCAAGTGCTGTTTGCGAGCACCTATGAAGGCCGGACCGGCACACGAGTGGGTGGGTGGCCAACACCACGCCCGGACGTTTTTGTGTTCCTGGTGGCGATGTTTACACGTCGCACCAGGTACTCATTTGAGGCTGAGTCTACCTAGGGGAGGCCCACGATCCGTTCAGATAATCTAACTCGGGTCGCCGGATTTGTATCGCGCTAACCGCTCCCCTGTGCACACACATATACACATACACACTACCAGACGTGCACGTATTAAAGATGTGCCAAAATAAGTAAATGTAGCTCAAGAAGATTTTACGTTAAGGGGAAAAATGGCCAGGAATACATGGAAAAAATGGTGAAAATCATCACAAAATAAAACCCATCTGCACAGCAGTCAACCAATCAAGTGAGAATGAATAAATATAACACGCTGTCACTAGTGGGTCACGTGGACAGTCAATAACTGCGGGCCGAAGAGTGCCCTCTTGGAAGGTAATTGGCCTACTTTTCCACGCTGGCCAAGTGCCTTGGAACTGGTGGGAGTACTCACACTTTACCCCACCACCCATTTGTACCGCAGTACTGGGTGGGCAGACTCGAACAGGCGACCATTCGGATTGCAAGTCCAGCAGTGTTCCTTGCAACTACGGCAGCATCCCCCCTCCCAGTACGTCTACAGATATATTGCATAGTGCTGAATGATTATTCTATTCCGTGCATAACACTATTGGAAAGCATCGTGTATATAACGATCTTGTACTGCACAGCATTAAGTTGTATGCCCGTATATTTTACTGTTCTGGATGGAATTGTGGTGTCACAGTACTTGTATGCACAATGTTTAATCCAGGTATGGTGTACAGAACGACTCGATTAGAATCTGCTGAGCGATCATCGCCCTCTGCTGCGAAGTTGGCGGGGACTGTCCTGGAATTTACTCGGCGAGGCTTCCCTGTGTGAACAAGCACAACAATAGACCGCGCTGTCATGTACCCTTCCTTCACTTGTGATTAGCTTGTTATTGTTGTTATTGTTTGACTGGGACTTTTGCACACAGTGTTGATATACGGTGCTTTTCTCTGGAAGATTTCGCAGTTTTTTCCTAGATGTTTCTGTTGCGCGTCGTTACGTTAAGATGTTCTTTGTTCATGTTTTGTTTGTTGCGGTTGCACCTGAGTCAAGAGCCGCATGGCTCACAGGGCTACGCCTAATAAATGAAACTGGAAAAGATCATGCGATGTGAAATCAGTTTTATCCATCGCAGTTCTTGAAAGTATCGTGTTGTATATTTGATGGTATTGTAACTGAGTAATACGTGTGTAATGGTATCGTACTGTCACGTATTATAACGCATTGTATTTAATAGCACGGTGTTGTATATGAGACGTGATATAACGTAGTATAAGTTTGGTGCACCGAGTGGTCCAGATATATCATGACCCCCATGTAATTCTGTACAACTGAAGAAAAAATTTAAGTAAGGTTTATTTAAAATAGAAATGAACATCTTCTTGGTTCTTTCGGTAAAGTCACGTAGAATAAAAATAAAACATAATAAAATAAAATAATAATATAAAATAATATAATATAAAATAATAAAACAGAAATGAACATGCAAACCAAAAATAGTGACGGCTCAAAAAAATTTTTTGTTGGGGGGGGGGGGGTCACAAGACATCTGGACACACCACGCCGCAGTCTGCACTGAGCCCCATCACGGCTCACTCCACTCCTCGACTTCCACGTGCGCGCGCGCTCCACGTGTCACGCGTGCAGCGCGCGCGCCGTCTCCCCCGCCTCCGTCGTCGTCGTCCCCCCCCGGGCAGGAAACTCTGCGCGCGTCTCCCCGCAAATGCGTTCCGGGCAAAAAGAGGCCGGCGCTTCTGCGATGTCGGGGCCGCGGTGCCCGGGCGTGGAGGCGCCGGGCGCGGATTCGCTCTCCTCCGTCGAGACGTCGCTGTCGCTGGGCTCCGTGCGCACCAGGATCTTCAAGATCATCGTCATCGGAGACTCGAACGTGGGCAAGACGTGTCTCACTTTCCGCTTCTGCGGCGGCCTCTTCCCCGAGCGTACGGAGGCGACGATCGGAGTGGATTTTCGCGAGAGGACGGTGGAGTTGGAGGGCGAGAGGATCAAGGTGAGAGGCCCTCACCCCCTTCCCTGTCGTCGTCGTCGTCTCCGTCTCCCTCTCCGGCAACAACGGAGGAGCGACGCTCACAACAACGGGCGCCTAAAGCGAAGCGAGTTGGTTGGCATAGCGGGTGGTGCATCTTTCGAGCCATCTCTGAGTCAGTCAGCCCACGGCACCTCGAGCTTGTCCTGTGATCTTGCACCTAGCCGAGCACATCGGTTAACCTATAACACCTGCGTCTGTTCCGTGACTCTGCCAGCAGCCAGCCTGCCACCACTTCACGTGGTCGCCTCAAAGTGCACCCAGCCTGGTACAAACGCTGTGGTGGGGGGGGGGGGGTGCCACCGTAGCTTAGTAGCGAATGGCGATGGATGTTGTTGCTGGTGGTGGTGCTGGTGGTGCTGGTGGTGGTGGTGCTGGTGGTGCTGGTGGTGGTGGTGCACAGGGCGAGTCGGGGGTGAGAGGGAGGGAGGGTGGAGTTGGACGGCAAGGGCAGTGATGCGGTCAACTTCACGCGTCTCTCAACGTGGCATCCGTCTCACGTCCACCACCACCACATTGGCTTCAAGGTCTTCCCCTTGGTCGCCTGCCTCTGGGTCGCCGCTACTTTTTGCGAGAGCCAAAGTGCGACGAGACACGGCGTCCTTTGTAAGCTCCGCGTGTCTCTGTGTGCGAGAGTCCGCCTCTCGTCGACAGGGAACAGATCATTCGCCTGGGGGAGAGGGGAGTTGCAAATGCGGCGTAACACACCGTTCGATATCTTGGGCACGGCGTGAGGAATAGAGAGCCACGGACAAGAACGCAGAGAGACATTGCATTCAGGAAGAGATACAGAGACATAGCAACGGTGTCCATGAAGACATTGAGACAGAGATGCACAGTTACAGTACAGGAAGACAGTCACCGACAGGAAGTGACACTGGGGAAAAGAAACGCGAAGATGAACGTCAATAAATAGGCTCCCGACTTTAAACTTCACTCGAACTCCTCCTGCGAGTGTCAGGGGCTCCCTGAATTGGCCGCGGTGTCCTCACCGCTAACATGATGGGTGGGCCCTCACTGACGAGGCCAAATTATTGGGATGAGTAATTTAACCCTCTGGGTTCTTGGCAGGGAAGTGGCTTTCTGACGAGCTGCACCCTGGGTTATATTTTGTGTAATGCGAAAGTGTAGGCATGAGCCCTACCGAGTATGTTTAACATTATTATGACAACATCGTAGTAGTAGTATAATTCACAATCTGGCCAGTCCAGTAACAGGTTGACCAAGGCGAAGTTATCGTCCCAGCTGATGGGAGCCCACGTGATGAGCCATGAGGCCAGGGCATGGTTCAGGGTTGGAATCGCGTTTATTGTCGAGCTTATTTCACCCACGTTTACTAGCAACAAACGCAGCTTAATCAAATGCTGCCGTTTCCTGGACCTGGTTGGCTGGCGGGTACATTGAGACCACGACTGAATCCTTAACGCCAAAGTGTTTGGCCGCTTTGTGGGGGGTTTAAATATATTTTCCCAAGGCACTGTTACTTACACACTCATGTGCAATCTTCAGCTCACAGTAAACAAGTTGGGTGTTCTTTTTAAATCACGTACAGTACTATTCTCGGCATTTAGTTACAGTAAAAGTATACGGTGTACTTGGGCGTGTGCCATTTAATACAGGAAGTGGCTCAATTTCCACGCTTCAGAATAAGCACATTCACCACACAAGGTACAGCTATATTTGTACAAAATATGACTGCATTCCATAATACCTGCTCATATAGACAGCAAAAGTATTTTGTTCCTCTTTTTGCCAATACATTTTGGTGGGCAAGTGTTGAGTGGGCTTGGATACCAGTATTTATAGGACTGTTTTTCTTTAATCTTAAGGAACAAATCAATTTTTGCACTGTACTTTTATGTTTCCCACCTTCACCAACCTGCACTGACCAGCGTGGTGAGCTTTGGTCAAATGGCCTGCCATAGCATGTGGACACCCTCAGACGGCAGTCTATACATACACCAAATTCAGAGGGGTTTTTTAATCATAAAAGGACACATTGTCTGGCGATTAGACTTTCAAATACTTTACAATAACAAATAGGCAGCTTTCGGGCCAAAAATTGCAAATATTTTCAAATGCGTGGGGAGAAAGACTGTTGTGATTTGATAATTGTTTTTTACCCTTTTATCTGGCAACAAAACGGACACCTTTTTTGCAAGGAGTCATGTTTGCATTGACAACAATACCTGCGGTCGGAATGCAAACAAAAAACACAACTCTGATAATGTATGTACTGTCCTTGAAATTGATTGGTCCACACCCGAGACAGATTTCCTTAGAGCCTAGTCTCACATGGTTTTGGACCAGATGACGCCAAAAGGCGCACAACTCAAAGACAATGCACCCCGAGCTCTTATACTCTGATGGTGCATTGTCTTTTGAGTTGTGCGCGTTTTGGCGGCATCTGGTCCAACACCATGTGAGACTAGACTCTAAGGAAAGCTGTCTCGGGTGTGGACCAATCAATTTCAAGGACAGTGCATGCATTATCAGAGTTGTGTTTTTTGTTTGCATTCCGACCGCAGGTATTGTTGTCAATGCAAACATGACTCCTTGTAAAAAAAGGTGTCAGTTTTGTTGCCAGATAAAAGGGTAAAAAGCCAGTTATCATATTTTGCTACTGGCAAAGGAGGTTCCAATACTGTTGTGATTTTCGCCGTGCACAGCTTCAACTTTGGGACACGGCCGGCCAGGAGCGCTTCCGTAAGAGCATGGTATCGCACTACTACCGCAACGCGCACGCCGTGGTGTTCGTCTACGACGTGACAAGCCGTCCCTCCTTCCTCAGCCTGCCCAGCTGGCTCGCCGAATGCGAGCGGCATCTCAGTTCATCGGACGCTCCTCGCGTCCTCGTGGGAAACAAGTGCGACCTCAAAGACAAAGTGGAGGCGAGTCGAACCATGGTCAACATACCTTGTACACTTTCACACAAAAGCCATACCAATTTAATAATTATTTTTAACCTGAAGTTGGCAATAACTGGGGACGTGCCTCATGACAAATGTAATGCATTGTCATTTGTTGCTATGAGCATGGAGAATGTGCCAGATCTTGGAAGCACGGTTGAGCCTGAATAGTGTTTGGGTCAGAATCCACCATTCGTAACAGATTATACAGGTGGCTGCATTCTTTACAGCAGCGAGAAGGGGAGCAACATCCATCATTGTACAATGCCTCTATGCTCCCATGTTTCTATTGCACGCCGTGTACCTATCCATACAGACCATCGGGGTGAAGCAGAGGTCGCAAACGGGTTTTGATTTCTTACCTGTACCCGGCCGGGTACGGGTACCCGTTCCCTACCCGTACCCTACCCGAAATGAGTGACAAACGGTTACTCACCAATGACTCACGGCCTACCCGTACCCGGCCGCACCAGGGTCGCAAACGGGTACCTGTACCCAGTCGGGTACGGGTAGCCGGGTATCGGGTACCCGATTGCGACCTCTGGGGTGAAGTCTGGTGATACAACACTCACGACCTGCACGGCGTGGGAAGGTTCTAATCCAGCAGTGGCTTGACAAAAGGGCCCGTGTCATTCATGTTTGTGTGCCAACAGGTCCCAACATCCCTGGCCCAGAAGTTTGCAGATGCTCATGGAATGGCACACTTTGAGACATCCGCCAAGGAGCAAGAGGGCACAGGCGATCATGCCGAGGCCATCTTCCTGACACTCGCCCACAGGCTGCGCAGCCAGCGTACCATGGCCATGCCGCGTCTATTTCCTGCCCAGGACACAGCCATAAACCTGGCCGATGACAAGCAAGGCGCCGACAATGGGTCCTACTGCTACTGCTGAATGGAGGTGGCGTGCAGTGGGAGGGGAAATGGAGTGTAAGGGTTATACAAAAGCACTGGTTAAGACAGCCGCCAGAGCAGCTGGATAAAAAGGTTACACGTATGGATGTGGCAAAGTATTTCTGACATTCTGATATGGACAGATGTTCTTGTAGAAAACGTGATGAGAAGTTCCATGTAAATGTTTCTAAAATGGTTGGTCTCTAAAAGGGGATTTATACATTTCATGCTTAGAACAATACGGTTAATTAATACCTTAAACATATGGGGAGTCAATCATGTTTTGGCAGAGGGCTTTTTATCCTTGCTAGGCTGAAGAGACCTCCACCAAGATGTGAATCCCACCCAATGAGGTCATATTCAAAAGTTAGTTTAAAGGCAATTTTTGCTCAAACTATTAGCAAAAATACTACTTTCCCAAAGAGAGTAATACTTTTTCTGAGAGATTTGTTGAAAAAGGCTTTTAATTAAGTAATAAGGCCTATTAAGTGTAGAATATTGTTCAGGGTGGTGTTTAAGAAGTTGCAAGAGAGCTATACAGTAGAATATAAAATGTAAATGTTTTTTTAAAACCACCTATGTACAGGATGTTATTTTAATCAATGTAGTTGCAATACGAATCAATAAAGATAAATAATGCTGATGAATCCGTTTATTTTTTAATAACAAAACGATACATCAGTTTTACAGTGACAGAAGTTGAGGACTATGTTAACTCACACCTTATCCTAGTTTTGGGTTTAAAAAAATACTGAATATAACAACGTCAATATTCAAAAAGTCTTTATTTACCATGTCAGTTCTGCATTAGCCACCCAAAACAATTTGAGAGCATATGCGTGTATGACAGAAGGAAGCAAACACATGAGAAGTCGGAACTTTCAAAACCTCTTCCTTTTGAGGATCTCGGGCTTCCAGTTGATTGGGTGCGTCTCCTCTGACTGTTTGGATCGCACAAAAAAGGGGAACAACAGTGAGGGGCGAAGTCTTAAGTTCTGGTCTGTCCAAAACAGCTTTGATGATTCTACGACAAAAACATTTAAAATTACGGGCATCCTACCAGTGACATCACTGAGGTGAAGTTATAATTAATGTAACGTGAGTGAAACCATGCTGACATCAATGAAGGGTGCTGCAATGCTAAGTATTTAAATTCTCAAATAAAGATTCAAACTCAGGACAGACGGTGTGGTGCACAGTCGAGGCATGTAGCTATCGGAAAACAATTGTGTTTTTGGCTGCGGTTTCAGAGCAGGAAATCTAGAGCTCCCATAGGCTGGACAAAGCCTGTAACTTTATTTTACAAAGCCCACAGCCACAAGAGATCAACGACTTCAAAACGGCCAACATTTATCCATCACTGCATCTTTTGCCACAGTATTCAATTACCAGAATGGAATATATTCGATCTGGCAGCACTGTTTCTAATTTTAGCATGCTCAGTTAAGGCGAGTTCCTCATGTTTGACTGCTATTATTGGATGACGCTAAGATGTTGTGGCCTGGCAAAGGTATTTCAAAGTTCTATTTGGATAACAGGGGTTTGTTATCAGCACAAAACAGCGTCTACTCACAGCGGTGTCATCTTCCTTGTACAGCTTGATGGTCTTGTCAGCCTCAGCCGTGATGAGGCGGCTCTCGGAATGGTCGAAGGCGCACGCAAATATCCCCGACTCGCTGTCCAGGGAGCCCGGCTGTACGGCTGCGTGAATGCGCTGGAAGTTGTAGCCCGTACGCCAGTCCCATAGGTGCATCGTCCCGTTGTCGGCTAGTTACAAATAAAAAATGTGCAGACAAGTTTATCCAAAGCCTCGGTTCTTAGCAGAAGATTTTGACTTATAATTAGTACGATATACACAAGCATGTGCATGCCCCTTAATAGATGCTCGCTAATAGGACTTGCCCCAACAGCCTGTTATAGGATTTTTCTAGCAATGTTTGCATACCATAGAAAGGTACTTACACATATCCCAAATTACGTACTTAAAACTTTACATGGCTAGTATTCATCCAAATCCTACTCAATTACAAATGTAACTTCAGTACATACTATTGTAGATGAAAAACTTCTGAACAAAGTTATAAAATTACTGTGCATTGCATATATATAGGTATTTCCAAGTAATTTATTATTCGCAATTAAGTGCAGGACATACAAGTACTTAATACGAAGCAAAATATTTTCTGCGACAGCTTAATTATCGTCATGCTAGAATCACGTGCTCTCAACGGTAAATTAGAGATTTGGTGCAATGGTTTGTCACCCGAGTATCCCCTTACACGCACTCAAACTGGTCGCACCCTCAGCTCGTCGGACAAGACTGGCAGGCTCTGAATGCTGTTTTTTGTTGGGTCGGGGGTTGGATTTACAGCCTTTTGTCAATGCTTTGCTTAATCAAAGCTGCGCCGTGCTGGTCAGTGTGGAGGAGGCGGCTCAGCACAGGCTCAGATATCACTCATCACTGATGTTAGCTGTGGCTGGTACTCAAACTGACGACGCGGGGGTACATAGCGTAGTGTGGGGGTAATCCTGGTTGTGGAAAAAAATTGTAGTGTACCTAACTCAAGTAAACACAGCTAATGGTAACTAAGCAACACAAACGTTGACGCCAGTGTTAAGTATTTCAAAATCGAATTCACCTCCAGACACCAGCACTCCATCAGAGTTGAGGGCCAGGCAGTTGATGATGGCATTGTGGCCAGACAGGTTCTGAAAAAACACCCCGTCCGGGAACTTCCACTGCTTGATGTTGTCGGGTGAAGCGGACGCAAATGTGTACCTGGGATGAAGGAGGAGAAGAAGAAAGTGCAAGTTTAAACGTAGGCTTCACCGAGTCGGTACAGCAGGCCAATGGTTCAGGGTCATGTTTTGTTTTGGTACGTACTGCCGAGGGTGCAGCACAACAGAGCGGACGGACTTCTTGTGGTTGGTCAGAGTCACGCGCGACTTTCCTGCTGCCAAGTCCCACAGACGCACCGTGCAATCGTGGCTGCCTGCGAGATTACAGACGAGAAAACGTAATCCCAAGATTAAGGGACCCATGACTGGCATTGCTTTAAAATAAAAGCTGAGAAGATGGCTCCTTTTACCAGTAATGATTTGAGGCTCTACTGCCTGACACTTGACGTCTGCCACGGTGTTGGTGTGTCCAGTCAGCGTGTGAACGTTGGCTTTGGTACGGATATCCCACACCTGTAACACATCCACAGCGAGGACAGACACAGCAAGGTCGTTTTAGCATGACACCACACAGCTCGTTCAGGTTTGCTTGTTATGTGTAAATGTTTTTGTTGAGTACAAATGCCAGCATTTGCAAGACACTCACCCGAGCAGTTGCATCTCTCCCGCAAGTGACGAGGACATCGATGGTGGGATGCAGGTCCAGTGCATAAGCGGCACTAAGGTGACCGTGGTAGTGCCTGATCACCTTTGGGCATTAAATACATTTCTCTTAGACACTGCTCTTATAAAACATCTTGCCTTAGAACATTCAATACATTTACAGCATCACATGAGTATATGTGTATACAATGCAGAACTCCATCATTTGTTTCCCATCTCCCATGACTGGTCTAATGACAGGGTCGTTGGGATAATACGCTTAGCTGCTCTGCTAGTCACTTCATTACACCTTTCCCGGTCCTTAAAATCACGACTCAGCTTCTTGTAGTTTAAGCCCATCAAGTCCGAGATGCTCTGACTCCAAGTCTCCCTTGGGCAACATTGCTATTTTGCCTTATAGAATGGATTTTGATGGTTTGTTGTATCTATTGATGTGTCCAAAGAACTGCAGTTCCATTTATTGGTGGCTAGAATTTTTGTTTCTGTACTGTGCTCCATACAAAGCCGAAGGTTACCTTGTTGTATTCCAGGTCCCAGCACTTGATCTGCTTGTCCTCGCCACAAGAGAAGAGGTAGGGGCTGCGGGAGCTGACTGCCACTCCACGCACTGTGCTGATGTGCCCCGTTAGTGACAGCTTTAACTTCCCTGTAGCAAGCTCCCAAATCTGTACGTGTGCACACAAACAACCCAAACGTCAATCGGCAACTCGCTCTTTGTGTAGTCGCCTTTTAACATGCATTTGTACCAAGAGTTTGAACACAATATAAATCGGAACTTACCTTGATGGTCCGATCAGCAGAGCCTGTGACAAACCACTGGTTTCCTGGCTCGACAGCAATACTTCTCACCCAACCCAAGTGGCCACTGATAACCTGGAACAGAACATGGATTTTAATTACACGGCACACATCAAAAACCAAAAGAATAGAACAGCAACAATAATAGTACACACACCTATGTTCATGAACAATACTTTTGCCAATACACAACTTGACAAGGATCTCCACACACCGTGTAGGTCATAGGGATTCATTGACCATGCTGCATGTTATTTAGGGCGGGTTGGTGATGGTGCGGAGCAGACGTAGCAACACACTACAGTACAATAATGTATTTTACTTCACTGCCCAATGCTTCCGATAATTTAGCCCCGCAGCAGCAGTCCATCCCAATTTTATTCTAGAGGACCATCCATAACATCAATGTACAGCTTAGCTTCTGAATTCTGAAGAGACCAGGCATGTTCCAGGTGATTTTGTGAAAGGTGCCTAAAATGCAGAAAACTTGACTCACCCTGTACAGTTTCCATGGTGGATGCCACTGTGGCTTGGGCATGCTGGAGGCCTTCTTGGGCATTAGAGCCGACCCTTTCAGCCCACCTCCATCCAGAAAAGCCTAAGAAACACAATAAGAAATAAACTTAACCAGTTTCCAACATAAGAAAACATTCCTTCACGTCCAATTGACAGAAATGTCTGAAAAGTTCAATCACAATATTTTACAGGGCCTCTTTTAACTTAGAACGTTATCCACATTAAGTAAAGATGTAAAGTGTGTGTTTTTATAAAATAAATTTTCCCATCACAAAACCGAATGCACTAAACTGTTCCAATATTTCTCTTTTTTTAATGTACTATCATTGTACTTTCAAAATAATATCAGAGCAGCATGACCCATGGGTCAGTGAACATCAACACAGTAGAATTACCAGAGGACTTCAGAAAAATCCTTCAAGTGCCCTTTCTATGCTTTACACAATAGGGGGCACATTTAGCCACGCACTTGACAGTGGGACTGTTACATGAAAAAAACTAATTTCTTTCTTTACAAATCGAGTGCAAGATTGGATTTAATGATGATCAACTCACTACACTTGAGAACCTGTCAAATAAGCAGCCTTATTTCATATCCAGATCCTCAAGAGGTGCCAGCTCAGCACACTCCGAGCTGAGCCACCCAGCCACCTCTTAAACTGTAAACAATTTGCTCTAATGCTACAATCACTCAACGGTGGTCATTCTGGTGATTGAGATGCAGCCCAAATTACCGAGCTGCTTCCAGGTGGCACGACGCGTTCTGCGATTCCAGCGTGGCGATGGATGTCGGCCACACTGGCAGCTGTGCGCGACGCCTCCTGTCTGCCTCGTCACCACAAGCACACAGACACAAACCATGAAAAAACGCAAGTGCTATTAAACCGCAAAAGCAAAGTTCAACTGCCATACACACACATCCTGTACATATGAGATATCATCAGGCATGGTCTATCCAATGCTGGATGGAGCCCCACTCCCTCCCCCCAAGCTGGCACCATCTCTCATGGTCTCTGTGGCGTAGCAATGTATCAAGCACCTGCACAAGAACGGATTTAATCAATCCATCCATCTCCATGGTGGACGCCCTCTCGGGCATGTTTTTTCCATTGGCTGCCACTGGTGCTATTCACGATCACTGGCCATCATCAATTATAGTAACATGTTTTGCACAAGTCCAGTTTTACTTTTTAACAGTCACTATGATCTCTATAACGTTTGTATGTTCTCAAATTAATGTGTTCCTCTGTCACAGTGTAATTCGGTGTCTCAAAGAATACTTATCAGCGTGCACACTTAGAAAAATGTGTTATTTTTTTGCCATATTTCTCATCCATGCCATGGCCAGTAATAGGCACTAATTAGAAATGTTCTTCTTTAGGCAAATCAGTATGTTACTTTTCATTACCAAGTTCAGTCTGTAAAAAGTACTCCAACCTGCTCTCCTTTGCATCTTTATTTGAATAAGATATGTATGGATAAGGCATTCATACAGCATTGTTTTACTTGGCATACGGGGTATATCTTTGGCAAGTGGGGCATCACACCTTGTTTGTGATGGGGGGAGAGTGAGTGCCAGACTCTGTGTAGCTGCATCGCTCGGGGTCCTCTGCAATCGCGTTTCCTCCGTCAGGGCAATTCCTAGCAGAAAACATTAGCAATCCTAAATATTCAAAACAGCAAGGATTCACAACAACTCTAAAGAAAATGAGGCTTTATCGAATTTTTAATTCTATTACAGAGCACCAGAGTACTTATATATTTTCCATGGAAAGCTTATATGAGCAAAAGTTATGTTTTTAAGACTTAAGAGCTTACAAACAACAATGTATTTATGTTAAATAAATGCAGTATATTTACTTTAGAAACTGCATACTTATCTTTGAAAGCACTTGGATACTTATATATCGTGCATACAAAGCATACATCGACATAAGTTACACTGTTCAAACTCAATTTCAAACAAACTATGTCTTTAAACAGCAATGAAGTATATTTACCAGGTCCAGATGGATAAGGGTGAGTTCCAGCAATCGCGTACTCTGCATCTTCACCTGAAAGACAGAAACACTTTTACCGATTAAATCCACGGAACTGAAGCAGCAACTTGTTCTGTGCGTTTGTGTTACGTTCGCGCACCCACCCTGCTCGATGGCGTAGCGTGGAGGCTGTCCGTAGAGAGCGGGGGGCAGCTGTGGCGCCTTCTCCCGAACCTCCTTCTGCGTGGGCATGTGCAGCACGGGGCCGTACTCTGCACGCAACTTCACATTCATCTTCAACTGGTAGCTGTCAGAGAGCCAGAGTCTTAACTTAAAGGCTGCGATGGGTTACATGACACGTTTGCATTTCAGAATCGGGACACAGCCATGGTTGAAAAAAAGTGACACTCGCAAATTTCGTTTTATTTACTTTTTGTAATCCATCAAAGTGTCGAGATGTAACATGACACTAGCAGCAACTGTACAGCAAACATAAAGGAACATTTTAATGACTCTGTTATTGTATAAGTTCAATGAACCAGCACTTTACGCCACAGCTGATAGCCATTCATGACTCATGTACATTCTATTAATGCTCTTGAAGGGCTAGAAAGCAGAAATTTGGGGTAAATATAATTGACGTTATGCTTATACATCAACAAATCTAACAAAAAATGTTTTAAATGTTTGTGCCCTCAAACTAACATCTAGAAATTTGTTTTTGTACCAAGCCTATGAAGGTTTGCATCGAGATGTTGTGAACTTTTTTGAAGCATGTGACACCGAAGCCGAAGGAAAGTGAGAAAGGTCCACAAATAGTTGCTCGTACTGTAAAATGTATACAGGTTTAGAGTGAAACACAGACACTTGACTTACATGAATAAAGACACGGTGCCCGGGTCGAGCAGTGATGCACTGGTTCTCACAATATGCTCTAAACACAGCGACCTGAGTTTGATTCTCAAGTCAACAAACATCAGTGGCGAGTGGTATCTGATCAGGTCCTGGGCACCCTCTTTACCAACTCACACGAACGAACGTGGCGAAAAATTACCAAATAATACCCCATGACTGCCAGGCCATGGGGAGGCCTTCATCCAGCAGTGGGTTGACAATGGGCTATATATTACAGAATTATATGCTCACCTCTTTTCATCCTGGCTGAGGGGCTTGGCGTGGTCAGCCACAAACATGTCATGAGTCCGCTTCAAGGAGCGAAACACAAGCGTATGCACCGAGTGCTTCTGCACCTCCTGTGTGGCACAGGCGTTGTGAAGAGGGGGGGGGGGGGGCAGTGAGAGTGACGGTGAAGTTTGGAGCAATGTTCAAAGAGCTTTGTAGAAGCCTATGACCAAAACTAAGGTTTGAATCTGGATAGTGCTCGAATGGGCAACCTCCACATGCAACAGCGGGTTGCTTTGGATTGTGATGCTACGTTTTTGGGCAGTGAAACGAAATCGATTGTTGTACTATACTCTTACTTCTATGCTCCCACGTTTCTGCTCCCTGCTGCTGCTCACCCACCAGCATGAAGTATGGTCAAACAATTACTACCACCCGCACGGCGTGGGGGAGGTCCCGTTAGACTGTTAGGATCTTTTTAAATCCTTTATATTAAGTTCGCTTGCTTGCTTGCGTGCTTGCTTGCTTAAGACCGTGCAAATCTTTCGGTCGTTTTTTAACCCACTTCCCGTGATCCAATCGAGCTGACATTTTGCACACAGACTCGTTGTGCGTGACAATTAGTTTTCGTGAAAAATTTTTTCCAAAATTTTACACTGTTTAGGGAATTTTTTTAAAATATTTAATTACCAATTGTTTAATGGTGGCAGACAATCATCTGACCCATAGGTGGCAGCCATCTCAAGCCAGAGGACGAGAGGACTCTAGCCGCCCCGATGCCACGCATATAAAGGATTTATAGTGAAAAACTTTGTTTTTACGGTTTAATTTTTACACCGCCGTGTGCTGTTCCCATCACGGAGCCCCGCCATAGAAATGTGGAATTTCCACCAATGGCTGAGGGTTATACCAGGAGGCGATGTGAAGCCTCACCAGCTATTCGGAAACCACTGGAGCTATGCACTTTTAAATGTAAATTGAAAACTAATTTCTGTGCAACTACTTTTTGCGTTAATTTGTTGTCATTTCCCCCCATCTACGATTAGCAAGTACGGTGCGAGAGAAGTTATACATATATATATACATAACACGCTCGTTTGATCTGTAAACTAGTTTGTCTATAAAGTACACAATTTAAAATTAACGTTTATAATGCAATTACGCACGGTGTGAGGCCTTAGCAAGGCTCCACCACGCCACACGCGGAGGCTCTCAGGCAACTAGCCGATACCAGTTCAGGGCTCCCGTGAACGCGTTAAAGCTCGACAGAATCTCGCATGTTTAGTTTATTCCGGTTGTATCGACTAAAACAATCGCTAAAAGCTATTTTAGTTCATTGGTGGCCAGGCTCAAAACAGGGCCTCACGCAACCGCTGCTGGTTACCTCTGCCATGGCCATGGCGCGCCGAGCGCCCGGTCTTCCCGCCTTGAGGATTCGCTTCAAGAGCTAGAGTTAATGTTTGTATGGTTGCAGTTGTTGTGTGTTTGTCGTGCTGCTGCTGCTGCTGCTGTTGTTGTTGTTGGTTTAATGTTTTGAAAACTGTTCGCGCGAGCGAGGGCGATCAGGGCACGCTGAGAGCGGCCATGCCGAGTGACGTCACGAGTATGAAGTTGACCCCTGACCCCGAGGAGGTTGGTGGATGGTGAAGAAGATTCTAAAAGATTTCGATTTAAATCTTTTTTGACTGCAGGGATTCATATTCTTGGATCTTTCGGTAAAGTCACGAAGAAGGGAAATAATAAAATAAAATAAATTAAACGTTAAAATGTTTTATTTTATTATTTTATTATTTCCCTTCTACGTGACTTTACCGAAAGATCCAAGAAGATTCTGAAAGATGATGATGATGGTGGTGGTGCTGGTAAATATTGTGGAGATGATGATCTGGAGGAGGAAAATATAATTATTTTGGACAGTTATGACTCTGGATGATGATTATTTTGGAAGAGGTGATAATTATCCTGGATGATGATCATGATGGAGAAGATTCTGGATGAGATGATGGTGATGATGGGTATGGAGATGGTGATAATTCTGCAGATTTATGGTGATGATGATTTTGGATGATGATTCTGGATGATGATTCTGGAGGTGATGATGATGATGGTGGTGAAGATTTTTGTAATTTGATTATACATATTCTGAAAGAGAATGATTTATAAGGGAGTGGTGATGACAGTGGTGAAGACTAATCTGGATGATGATGGCCACAGTAGGATATTCTGGTTGAGGCGGTGATTATCTCGATGAGGGAGACCGGAGTAGGTCGGAGGAAAGATGTTGGGATTGGTGGTGATTATAAAGTGTCGATGCTGGTTATGTGTGGTGATTGTAAAGGAGATTGTGGAGGAGGTGGTGGTGGTGAATGTGCTGGAGGTAGGGCTGGAGATCTCGAGAGGGTACAGGTTGCGCTGAAGGTGCTGATACTGCCAGAGATGATGGTGCTGATACTGCCAGAGATGATGGTGCTGAAGCACCGGGGGATGTTTGAACGTTACATTTTTGGCTTTAACGACAAGCAGTTTAACGATCTAGGCAGCAGACGTCAGTGTTTAAAAATCATTGTTGTACTATGTGTTATATGCTTCCGCAGAGACAAAGGGCTACATTGCTACTCATACTACAAGTGAGAAAACCTTCTCATACGTATAATGCGAGCACTAAACAAGGTTGACATTTCCTATGAACGGTAACAGCTCCAATGTTGGACAGGTCAACTCCTGGGCGAGCAAGTTGAATGTTACCGTGAGTCCGCCTGGTGGCGCCAATGTACCGGACAATTTCTGTTGCAGCATGATCTTAAGCCGCACTTAACATCGTGTTTTATTTGCAGGAGAGGCTCAGTAACCGAGCTACGAGGAAGGGAGTGGAAAGTTATTATGATTGTCAGGCTGGTTTACACAGGAAAGCCTCACTGAGTCTCAGGACTCTGAGTCAAGAGGGTCCTGCTAAGTTTTCAGTCGAGACAATGATCGTGGACTAAGCGAGATGTTAACGACCTCGCCTGGTATACAGGAGGTCATGGGTTCGATCCCGACCCTGACGCCAGCTGTATATTTGGAGTTTGCGTGTCTCTCTCATCATCATCACGGTGGCTAGGAGATGTTAACTACCTCGCCTGGTACACAGGAGGTCGTGGGTTCGATCCTGACCCTGACGCCTGCTGTATATTTGGAGTTTGCGTGTCTCTCTCGCTGTGGTCGCGTGAATTTTTCTTCGGGTTTTCCATCCACATTTACAATCAACATCACGCGTTTAGAGTATATTTGGTTGCTACACATTTCCACATGATAAGCCACTTCGTTGAGGTAAAATGTGTGGCCTGGTCGCTTCTGAATAAGCTCAGTGGGCCTTACATGTAAGAAAAAAAGAAATCCCAGTGGCGTAATTTTAGGTATACTTTTTAAAATTTAGACCCATGATGCCGGCACACAATGGCCTACTCTTGCGAATTACGTCACGGGATGTTTAACATCCACTTTGAAGCACAAAGCTTGAACAGTGGAAAACACAACTACTGTACAGTACAGTAATTGTACCAGAGCCCGTGCCTACCACGCTTTGCTACTAGGAGCAGCACAACATAATGTCTAACGTATGTAAAGCTCTTCTGAGTATATCCATGCTTAAGTGAGCAATGAGGATTGATCATCTCCAATTTGGGGGGCCCTCAGTCACTGGTGGAAAATCGACATTCTCATCGCAGCATTTTCATAAAACAAACGCTGTTTGGTGACTTCCCATGGATAATACTTGTGCCAGAGTCATACATTTATGTTTTGCTCATTCATACCCTATGCACCCCTTTTCACCGTGCCCAACCTCAATAAGGAACCAGGATGTCGGACCACAGGAGATGTCAGCTGCTGTTCGCTCCGCGCACTGCAGAGGGTGGAGGAGAGGCAGCGAGATAGAGGAACTTGAGCCAAAAGTACAACCAGTGTTTTGGGCTGTACATGATGTCCTGTATTGATCCTCCTTGTCCAGCCACTCTAAAACACCCCGCAAAGCTCAATAGCTCATACCAAACAAGCCTCCTCCGTCCATGCCATGCTCATGATTTTCTGGAATGAAAACAATTCTTTCTGATAAATATCACATTCAATGCTTGGCTGACAATTTCCTAAGTAACACATTTGTCTTTTTAAAAGCAGCTTTCTTACAATTATTAGTATTAATCAATTAAATTACAGCCCTTTATCACTCCGCTGCTGGGAGAAAGCCTCCCCAATGCTGTCAGGCATGCGGGTTGTTTGACTATACTTCACCACGCTGCTCAGTGTAGATTGGTGAAAGTGGTGCCCAGGACCGATTCAGATATGAATCACCACCAATGTTAGTCGTGGGTGGGAATCAAACTCAAGCCACCCGGTTCACAGACATTTCATCGTTCCATCCCCAATTTTTCATAAATATGCAAAAACAAAAAGATGCATACGGACATGGGAAGTATTATCAAACAGGAGGAATTAACGGTGCAACACATCTCATCTGTTAAATATCTGCAGGTAATAGGATTGTCATCGATTGATCCTGGCTGCAGACATTGGTAGGTCACAAATAATAATGAAGATAAGAGAGCAGTTTCACTGTATTATGCATACCGTGATGACAAATAAAGGACTAAAGTCGTGTAGGCAGTTTGAGCAGCTTTGGACAAGACTTATGATCCTGCCCATACCCGAGCATGGAGCGCATTCACTTGTGCGCGGTGGGACGGAGTCGCCAATTTTTTTTCCATTAATTACGATTTTGACTTCCGTTAATTCGGGACCCCGGGGTCCCGCAGTAAGGTTCATATATTAAAATGTGTTTTAATATATGTCACTACATATGTATACCGTATGCTTCTGTTACAAGCCACCGTTAATGACAAATGTGGTATTGTTAATCTGTGCTTGCCTACCAATGCCAACACAGTCCCTTAATTTTTGATGCCATTAACAAGATAATGCTTCCATTGCAACATTACTGGCCAGTTTTTCCATGACTAGCTCGTGCATTTATTTAATAATTTCTTCATGGTGGGTCTGTTTGTTGCGTGTGTCGAATCGACGCAGTGGCAGCCGCAGCAGGAGGGAAAACACGCCCTAGAGGATTTCCACCGCAGGAGACGAAGCTGTGAAATATGCTCACCTGCAAGTGCTCGATGGATTGTTGCATCGCAAGACCAACGTGCAGAAGCGTTCTACAAGCAGTGGCTCGAACGTGGCTGACGATGAACAACAGCTGCCATTCTCTACCAAATGGTGGCAGTAGCAGTTGGTCCAGGCTATGTGGAATTTGAGGTCACATGGTATGAAGACTCGCTAAATGGAGCTCACGAGACAAACCTCAGATGTGTAGCATAAATGAAAGCCCGTGATTACATTCACAATTAAATATAAGTACTGCAACTAATTTACAGCACTTAATAATCCACTGCTAGATTCGGGCCTTCCCGTTCCGTTTCGGTCATGAAGGTCGTTTCGGTCATGAAGGTCATACATTTACATTGTTTCTCTCAGTCACTCTACCCTCTCTCTACTCAGAAGGGCCACCGCCCAAATCGTCAGCCGCAAACTCTTCTTCTGTCACAAAGCAGCGTTAAAGGTGAAAGTGGTGAATTGTTCTGATGGTTCAGCTCAGTGTCGAACTGCATGGGCCCTTGGGGCAAGGAATTAAATGGGACATCCATCTCAGTAGCGAGATGTTAACGCTCTCACCTGGTATACAGGAGGTCGTGGGTTCGACTCAGATCCCTGACGCCTGTATATTTGTAGATTTGGATGTCTCTCTCCCCGTGGTTGCGTGGATTTTCCTCCGGGTCCTCATGTTTTTTCCCCCTCCACATTTAGAAACATGCGTTTAGAATATTTGACTGCGAAACATTTCCACGTGATAAGCCACTTCGTTGGGCTATTCATTTGTGGCCAGGTCGCTTCCGAAAAAGAGCTACATAGCTCAGTGGGCCTTACCTTGTAAAAACAAAAAAATGTTTAGTTGAAGTGAAATCTTTCCCTCTTCGTCAAAAGCTTAGCGCCTGGGCTTATCGGGCCCTAGTGGCTCTGACGCAGTTGCACCTCCTGTACACTCAATAGCTGCGTCATGGATTGCTCTCGGCCTCTGTCTCTCCCGGCGTGTTGGGGCCATGCAACGTAACGCACGGCTGAGGCCTCGTCCGTGGCGGGCTGCACCCAGCAGGGGTGATGGTCATACCACTTGGGCTGTGCCGCATGATGAATGTGCTCTATTCCATACTTCCCTTTCTGTAAAAAGACTTGTGATGATCTCAGAATATTACACTTACGACATTGTGATTACGATGTCGAAACCCAGTACTATTACAGTACTGCTGGTTTTAGTAATAAATATATAAAAATGCTGTTTTGCAAAGACCCGACGTTAATTGATATCGTGGAATAAAATCACATCGAATCTCCTCAACTATTGTCACATATTGGAAGTTATATTCTTAGGTGAATCCTTGCAGTCACGAAAGCTGAAAATCTAGAATCGGAAGTTATGTTAAGCAGGTTGAGCAGGGATAGTACTGTACTTGCACTACCGTGCATGACCAACACCAGTGACAATTATCTGAACCGGTCCTGGCAACGCACCCCCT